AAGAAAAGCACAAAGTCTAAAAAGTGGGGCAGTAAACAGACTGTGAAGAGGACACGTACGATCATGAGAGCTGAAGCAAGAAGGTAGAGCATGCCTCGTTCAAGCTCAGCAGGAAACGCGTCGTCAGGTCACTACCATTTTTCTAGTGTCTAGAATGACCACAAAAGTATTAGGTTGTTGCAAAAGTAATTACTTTTAATGCCAAAAACTGTAAATACTCTTACAGCAACCTAATACTATGAGGAGGCCGGGTGCGGTGGCTCACGCCTGTAATCCCAGCACTTTGGGAGGCTGAGGCAGGGGATCACTTGAATTTAGGAGTTGGAGACAAGCCTGGCCTACATGGCCAAACCCTGTCTCTACTAAAAAAATACAAAAATTAGCTGGGTCTGGTGGCCCACACCTGTAATTCCAGCTACTTGGGAGGCTGAGGTGAGAGAGTTGCTTGAACCTGGGAGGCAGAGGCTGCAGCGAGCTAAGAGCACACCATTTTACTCCAGCCTGGGAAACAGAACGAGACTCTGTATCAAAAAAAAGGTCTGAGTGTTGATTTTGGGATTACAGATAAATGTCAGTGAGTAAGTACATTTGCCAGTGCTTTAGTGAGTAATGAGGATCAACTCTGTGTACAGCAGTAAGAATGAGGCTTCAGGCCAGGCACAGTGGCTCACGCCTATAATCCTAGCACTTTAGAAGGCCAAGGTGGGTGGATCCCCTGAGGTCAGGAGTTCAAGACCAGCCTGGCCAACATGGGGAAACCTCGGCTCTACTAAAAATATAAAAGTTAGCTGGGTGTGGTGGCACATGCCTGTAATGCCAGCTACTTGGGAGGCTGAGGCAGAATTGCTTGAACCTGGGAGGTGGTTGCAGTGACCCAAAACCATGTCATTGCACTCCAGCCTGGCCAACAAGAGCAAAAGTCATCTCAACAAACAAACAAAAAGAATGAGGCTTCAGAGTGGAGAGGAGGGAGCCATAGACAAAGGAAAATTTACAAAGGTGTCACAGGAAGCTAAACTTTGAGGGATAAGTCAATTCCCCAGGTAGGAGGGGACTCTGGGTGGAGAGGGCACCATGCACAGAGGCATGAGACAACAGGGGATGAAGTGATGTCTTTAAGGCAATAATGAGAAAACCAGACGTGAACATGTCGAAGAGCCCTGACATCCAGGAACCTGGGAAAGGCAGTGCTTCCACACCCACCCCTTCTCACAGGGCTGGCGTGTGCTGGGTGGTGCCAACTGCTGTTACAGAGAACCCCCAACTCAGTGCTTTGATCCAATAAGCACATGATTTTTTGCACATATTAGAGTTCAACATGAATGATCAGTGAGTAGCTTTTCAGAAGTGATTTAGGGACCTAGACTCCTTCAAAACTGTATCTCCTCCATCCCCGAGGGCCTCAGAGTTTTGGCTGATGACCAATAAAGGGGAAAGGTGGAAGGTGGACAGTTGCACAGGGGTGTCTACATGCTGCACCTAGAATTGGCCCACGTCCCTTCCATCTACACCCTATCATCACATGGCCCCACCTAGATGGGAGAGGGGATGGGGAAGGAAGTCCCGGCTGGACAGCTGCTTCCCAGCAGCATATTTACTACATGTTCATGTACTCTGGAGGAGAAACGTGACTGTTGGTGGACAGCTAGCCCTTTCTGCCACAGGCCCTCGGATTAGTCCGTCAGACCACAGGGCAGAACTGAAAAGAAGTGGTGGTGAGTGATTCTATGGAAATGGAGTGTCAAGGTGCCGTCTAGAGAGTCGATAGCCAATGAATGCCTGGTGAGTGAATGAGAAATGCATTATGCCTCATTCCCAGCCAGCTGGCAGGGAAGGAACATTCTCGTTTTTCCTGCAGTCAGACACATTGCACTTGGGCTGCTACAACAGAATACCATGAACTGGTGGCTTATAAATGACAGAAATTTATTTCTCACAGCTCTCGAGGCTGGGAAATCCAAGATCAAGATGCCAGTAGAGTCAGTGTCTGCTGACTTCCTAGTTCATGGAGCCATCTTCTCACAGTGTCCTCACTTGGTGGAAAGGCCAAGGAGCTCTCTAAACCATTTCATAAGGGCAGCAATCTCATTCCTGAGGGCTCCCTTCACCCCAAAAGGGTCCCACCTCCTGACCATCACCTTGGGAGATTCAACGTCGAATTTTGGGGAGGACATATGTTCAATTCATAGCACCTGAAGAGGAAACATGGCCACAGGAATAGAAAGAGGGATGCCCAGAGTGACGAGGTCTAGATAACTGCAAGTCTGGGCTGTACCTATGAATATTCTGTCCATTTATTTCAACTTCATTTGGGATTTGGGCTACACAGAGCTTCTGCAGGACTTGGAAAACCCAGTGCATGACTGAGTGGTTAGAAATGGAGGCCGGGTGCGGTGGCTCACACCTGTAATCTCAGCACTTTGGGAGGCTGAGGTGGGTAGATCACAAGGTTAGGAGATTGAGACCATCCTGGCCAACACAGTGAAACCAAATCTCTACTAAAAATACAAAAAATTAGCCGGGCATGGTGACACGCATCTGTAGTCCCAGCTACTCAGGAGGCTGAGGCAGGAGAATCTCTTGAACCCAGGAGGCAGAGGCTGCAATGAGCCGAGATCACGTCACTGCACTCCAGCCTGGGTGACAAGAGCAAGACTATCTCAAAAGAAAAGGAAAAAAAAAAAGAAGAAATGGTTTGAAATAGCCTGGAAAGACTCCAGGGAGGAGAGAACAGGAGTGCACATGCACGTGCATGCACACACACACACGCACGGGCACACACACGCACTGCACACACACACACACACACACAGCCAGGACTCTTCTTTAGTTTCCATGCGGATTTCAATCCAGCCTTGCCTGCAATCGCCTCGTAACTCCACATTTCCGAGGTATTAATCAAATGCCATCTATGAGGCAATGTTGCAGGCCCCACTGGTGCTTTTACATTTGATGGTTGCTGAATATCTAACTATGCTTCAGCAACTTCCATCCATGCCAAATGAGAAAAAAACAACCACCACCTTTTCTCCCCAGAGCAAATTCACACTCAGCAAGGATAATCACAAACCCTCCACAGGTGAACACATCAGAATAAATGAGCAGTCAACACACCCACCAAGGCATGTGAGTTACGGTGTCAAAGCAGCTGTCGGGGACAGTCCTGGGGTAGGGGATGCCTCCGTCTCCTGATCACAGGCACTACTTGAAAAATGCAGGAGAGGGGCTGGGGGGGAAATTGCTGTAATGTGGATCATCTGTGTGCCTGTTCCCTGGTGTCCCAGGGTCAGGAGTCCTGAAGCTCATCTGGCCTCGGCAGCTGCTGCGACAGAATCTTTCCCGTGGCTCAAAACATTGGCCTCTATGACCTCATTTACATTTATTGTGTGTGCCTTAGACGGGGAGAGATGAACACCAAAGCATGACTGTAGAAAAGGGAGGAATGGTTTTTACTCAAACACAGAATGGTCGGTAGCAGACCCAAGGTTGTACTACTTGGAGACAAAAGTCTTTAACTCTGGGCCCTAATGGCGTCCCTGCTCCTCACCTGCCTGCCAGACTTCCACCTCCTCCTCGCCTGATCCAGCACACACAGGCTTGGCTGGGACATGTGCAGGGGAAGAGCCAGGCTCAGCCAGCTCCTAGCCCCTGTAGAATGGTGCTTTAGAAATCTGTGCTGCACAGATGAGCATGTGACTTGGTCCCTGGCCCATCTCCTCATTGCCTCCAGCAACTTTCCTAAAGGGAAGGTGAAGTCTTGTCATCCCCTGCTCCCTCCCCTACAGTGTGGAAATGCCTCGAATTTCTGCCCTCGGACCTCCAAGCCACGCCCCTTGGGAAAGTGCCAGGAGAGTGTTGGGAGTATTCAGAGGTGGGGACTCCCAGTTACCTGCTTTGGATGACTCTGGCCTTAGCTGGTCCTGAGGTGGAGGCCGCCTGGGAACTGTGGGTCAGAGGAGGTCAGCTTCAGCTCCCCCAAATGTGGGGATCTTCCACCCCCAAGTGACCCTCTCAATCTTTGGGACTGTCGTGCCGTGAACTGATCAAGAGAAGTATATGATTCAGCTCCTGACCAAGATCCCTGCCTGCATGATGAATGGGGAGGGAAGGTGGACGGAACCAGCCATGAATGACAACTCACCCTGGGTCGAGATCATGCAGGCAGGCAGGTGGGCAAAAAATGAGTCTGTTTCATCAGGCATTGTTTAATTTATTCTTAGCTTACTTTCTGCTTTATTTCCAACACAAGCAAAACCAGATGTGTGCAAAAGTCACTCCATACCCAGCTCTATTATGATGCAGCTTCATGCCCATTAAGGTATTCCCATGCCCCTCACAGGGCAGCGTGCATCTGTTGTGGTGCCATCTAATGTCTGTTAGGTGCAAGCTGGCCCACACGTGGCTCCTAGCCAGAACAGTCTACAAGCGACAGCGTGGCCAGAGAGCAGAGACAGGAAGGAGGCCCAGACCTGAGTGTGGGAAGCACAGAACCACAGCAGGATGCTTCTGCTGGCCCCAAATACCTCCACATCAATGCTTTGTGCTCCCTGTTTTCTCTTTTCCTGGATAGCCCCTCCCACCGAAAGTCACAACTGTCTGCTCTTGAGCTTGCATTGAGGGAAGGAAATAATTTAGATAAGCAGAGGGGAAGACAGGCGATGGATCTGGTGGGGCTAAGGCGGAATCCCCCCTCTCCTCTAGAAGGGAGTTGATGGAAAGGGGATCACCATCCAGGAGCCCCCTGCCCCCCAGACAGGAAACATGTGCCAGTAGCAGGCACACCTAGGGCTCTGCAGAGGGTTGGGGAGCATGTCGCCCAGTTTACGCTGCACTGAGCACCGGCTGGAGGAGGAAGGGACCCAGAATGCCATCTGGACACAAGTGCTCCCTTACCACCGGGGCCTGGTCGTCTCAGGCTTTTGTGTCGGCTCAGCCACTCCCTCTACAGATTATGCTGCTCAAGGCAAAGAGGCTTAGGTGGGTCTCCAGGGCAACCGCAGCTCAGGAGCTGGCCCGCCTCCGTGGTTCATCAGGGAAGCTGTGGCTCCAGCCTCCTGGGACACACACACACATACGCGCGCGCGCGCACACACACACACACACACACACACACGCACACCCCACAAACAACAGCCCAGGCTGGATCTTTCCTCCGGTCTCTTCTCTTGGTAAAACTTCTCGGAGACCCAAAGAGAGGACCCAAAATCCTGAGGCCAGCTGGCAGCAGCAGAGAAGCCGAGGGAGACTAGAGGATGTAGTCTGCCCTGCCCTGCTGTGGCTGCTGAACTTTCTTCTTTTTCCTGAAAACATCCAGACTCTCTCTTCTCCCAGACTGGGAAGCAGAACACAGGCCCCCTGCTGCGACACTGCCCCTGAGCTGAGGCTGACCTCAGAGGTAAGAGGGAGGTCTCCCCAGAAGACACTGTCTTTCCCACCCGCACCCTGGCACAGCTGCACCTTTGGAAGTTAGGGCCGAGGCCTGGAGCTGGGTGGGGTGGCCTCAGAGGGTGTGGCAGACTGGAGAGCATAGAAAGCCATCCACCACCAGGGCCCAGATGGCCACAGGGAGGCCCCTTCAGCCCTCACCAGTTCCACAGGAATTGGCAGCCCCTGCAGCATCCTCGGGGCTATAGCCTGCTCCTTGTGTAAGCCTGTGGGAGGCCTTCGCCTCTGTCTCTTCTGGAACTACAAGTCCCTCGGGGAGGACTCAGTTCCAGCAGGTTCCCTTCTGCCTTTATAGAGCGGACACAGGCCGGGGGGAAGGAAAGCGAAACCCAGATCAGAGACTCTTGCATCGGTTTGTGAACTGTGATTCAAGCACCTCCTAAGTCCAAGGCACAGAGTCAGGCTCTGGGGATGCAGCTGCGCCCAGCGCCTGAGGGTGATGGATGCGCCTCAGTCCCCTCGACCACAGAACAGTCTGTGCGTCCCCGGTAACATGCCCAGGAGAGCCGGGCCGGGCAGATGGGTTCAGGGTGTGGCGCCAGCGAGAAGATCAGGCTTGGAAGGAAAGTCTGGCTGCAGCCAAGGCATGAGGGTCGGTCCCTTCCCACTGTGATCATTCAGACCTGTGTTCACGCCCTCTCCAGGCTGCACCTCTGCCTCAGAATGGGGAGGACTGACTGACATTCACTCATTCACTCAGGAACCGCTTATCTAGGGCCACTGTGTGCAGAAGATTCAACCAGCACAGCTCCCGCCCTTGCAGAGTTCATAGCTGGGTGCGGGAGAGAGAAACACAACCAAAAATGTGAGAAATGTGTTTGCTGGATGCTGTGGTGCTGGGCCCCTGTGCCAGGCCCTGGTGGTCGGGATCAGTGCTCCATGGGTGGGGGCGGTGAGGGGCCGGCTGCAGAGAGGAGTTGTTTCTTGAGGGGTTCCTGACAAGTGAGCAGATGTCTGTCAGGTGGGCAGAGGATCCACAGGTCAGGCCCCCTCACACCTGGCTTGGTGGATTACAGGTTATTTTTCTATGATGCCAAAGAGAAATAAGATCAATTTGCAATATGTAAAGTTGGACTTGGGCCTTATCAAACATGGGGCTGGTAGGAAGATTAGCCAGAGAAGCACCTACTCTCTGCCCCTACTGAGAAGTTTCTGTCCAGCCTGAGGTTCTGGGGTCAGCAGAGTCAGCCTGCTGGTGCAGTGAAGCAGCCAGTGCTTTGGGACAGCCTGGCTCAGGTGATGCTCTGTCCCGGGGCCTGCAGATACCCAGCTCAGCTTGAGAGGTGGAGGACCTGGGTGGGATCCCCTGGCCATGGCTCCCTTTGCACTGAGAAATCAGCCTTCCTGGACAAGGTCTGCACGCCCTCACTGGTTGGCTGGAGCCAGCGCGGGGCCTCGGTTCTCACTAGAGGTGAGAGCACTCTCATCCCTGCCACAGGAGATCAGAGCCCTGTTTCTAGCTCCAAGGGCACACCCCACATGGATCCACCATTGAGACATCCCTGGTCCCCCTCTGAGTGCCAACTGCATGGAACCAGAGACTCCTCTTGCCCTTCGGGCACCACGGAGGGTTCTTCTAGCACAGCTAACAAGCCACAGCTGGCAGTGGCGCCTCCCAGGGAGCGCAGGAAAGACTTTATCCTCAGGGGTGTGCAAAATAGGCTGAAAGGAAGGCCCGAGACTGTGTGCGCAGGGGAGGGGGCAAGGAGGAGGAAAGGAGAGAGGAAAGAGAACATCAGAGAAAGGAAGGCCCGAGACTGTGCGCAGGGGAGGGGGCAAGGAGGAGGAAAGGAAAGAGGAAAGAGAACATCAGAGAAAGGAAGGCCCGAGACTGTGCGCAGGGGAGGGGGCAAGGAGGAGGAAAGGAGAGAGGAAAGAGAACATCAGAGAAAGGAAGGCCCGAGACTGTGTGCGCAGGGGAGGGGGCAAGGAGGAGGAAAGGAGAGAGGAAAGAGAACATCAGAGAATGGAAGATAAGGGCCGTGGGTCCGTGATGCCAAGGACAGACACAGAACACACGAGGGCTTCCCTATCATCCGCTCTGCTCTGTAAACCCGAGGCCGCACCACCTGGGCCTCTTGAAACAGGGAGGCTCAGCTCTCCTAGCGCGGTGACCAGAAGCCAGGGCTGGGAAAGGCCAGGAACCAAACTGGGGTCAAGATTACACCAAGCCAGGTGGTCCTTTACTTTGTGTGCCCTGGGCCCCTTTGGGAGTCTGTGAAGCCTGTGAACAATTCTCAGAAAAATGCTTCTAAATGCATAACAGCAAGTTGATTGGGTTACAAAGGAAACAAACTCTATTGAAATGCAGCTCTCCAAAAAAAAAAAAAAACTCAAGGCCGGGCGCAGCGGCGCAAGCCTGTAATCCCAGCACTTTGGGAGGCCAAGGCGGGTGGATCACGAGGTCAAGAGATCGAGACCATCCTGGTCAACAAGGTGAAACCCCGTCTCTACTAAAAATACAAAAAAATTAGCTGGTCATGGTGGCACATGCCTGTAATCCCAGCTACTCAGGAGGCTGAGGCAGAAGAATTGCCTGAACCCAGGAGGCGGAGGTTGCGATGAGCCAAGATCGTTCCATTGCACTCCAGCCTGGGTAACAAGAGCGAAACTCCGTCTCAAAAAAAAAAACAAAAAAACCTCAACAATTTGTGATACAGTAATACGTGTGCTTCCCTATCAACATGTGAAGTAATAAGCCTAGTAGCAAGTCTAATACATGTCACGATTTCACAGTAGTGATGAGCATACCTGATAATTCAAGAATAACGACTTTAAAGTGTGTGAAAAATCTCTGACTTCTGCAGGAGATAAAGCCACTGGGCTACTGATACTGTGATCCATAGCCCTCATTCCCAACTGAAGGAAAGACCAACTTCTGCAGGAGATAAAGCCACTGGGCTACTGATGCTGTGGTCCATAGCCCTCATTCCCAACTGCAGGAAAGACCAACTTCTGCAGGAGATAAAGCCACTGGGCTACTGATACTGTGATCCATAGCCCTCATTCCCAACTGAAGGAAAGACCACATTTCGGTTAAAGGTTAGTGGAAATAAAATGACTTTTTTCCCCATCCAAGTTCATAAATCTCTTAATCTTCCCTAGGACCCCAGGGTAAGAATCTGCACTAAGCCACAATGGTAGCCACTGATCCAGGTGAACCAGCTTCTTGTTAGCTTATAAAAATAAAACAGTTACACAGACGTGACATCACTGGATTTTCGCAGTAACTTGAAGTAACTGAGAAATGTCTGCCCAGACTGAGAGTCTTTATTATTCCCTTATAGACTGGGGAAGCTGGGGCTTGGGCCAATGAATGTGACTTGGACACAGGCAGCATACACGCTAAGGGAAGGGAAGGGTGTAGGGACTGAATTCCGGTTTTCTGTGCTGAAGGCTGCGCCGTCTCCTGAAGCCCAGCCTGCTCCACCTGAGCTGGTGATGAAGTGAAGGCGGAGTGGGGGCGCAGCCAGGCCTCCAGCATGCATCTGAGGTCAACAGCAGTGGAGGCGGTGAGTGGGGGTGAGAGTGGGGAGGGCCCTCCAGCATGCATCTGAGGTCTACAGCAGTGGAGGCGGTGAGTGGGGGTGAGAGTGGGGAGGGCCCCCCAGCATGCATCTGAGGTCAAAAGCAGTGGAGGCGGTGAGTGGGGGTGAGAGTGGGGAGGGCGCTGGACCCCAGGCCCCAGACTCTGTGGAGGGAATATGGGGAGAGGGAACGGAAGGCATCTGTTGAGGGACAGCAGCAACCGTGTCCCCACCCAGGCTCCCAGAGGGAGGAGGGCAACAGCCCAAAGATTCTCACTGCGGACCCCGAGGTGGATGGAGGTCTTAGCAAGCAGGGCCCAGCCCATGCTCCTAGCTGGCTTTCATTCCTTTTCTTCTCGCTTTGTGTCATCATTGGATTTGGTCATCTGTCTCCTCTCCACAGGGTCTTCACCTCTTTCCAGGTGGGCTTTTTGTTTTTGTTTTTGTTCTTGAGACAGTTTTGCTATGTCGCCCAGGCTAGAGTGCAGTGGCGCTGCCTTGGGTCACTGCAGCCTCCACCTCCCGAGTTCAAGCAGTTCTCATTCCTCAGCCTCCCGAGTAGCTGGGATTACAGGCGCCCGCCACCACACCTGGCTAATTTTTGTATTTTTAGCAGAGATGGGGTTTTACTATATTGGCCAGGCTGGTCTCAAATTCCTGGCCTCAAGTGATCCACCTGCCTCGGCCTCCCAAAGTGCTGGGATTACAGGTGGGAGCCACCACTCCTGGCCTTCGGTGAACTTTTTAGCCACTTGATTGTGTCATAAAAATTACAACCCCTGCTTACTGCACAGGATTTTTATAGTTTACTGAATGTTTCCACATACTGTCTTTCACCCGAGTCTCAGAGGAACCCTGGGGAGTGGGCTGAGCTGGTGTCTTTTTTTTTTTTTTTTTTTTTGAGATGGAGTTTCGCTCTTTTTACCCAGGCTGGAGTGCAATGGCTTGATCTTGGCTCACCGCAACCTCCACCTCCTGGGTTCAGGCAATTCTCCTGCCTCAGCCTCCTGAGTAGCTGGGATTACAGGCACATGCCACCATGCCCAGCTAATTTTTGTATTTTTAGTAGAGACGGGGTTTCACCTTGTTGACCAGGATGGTCTCAATCTCTTGACCTCGTGATCCACCCGCCTTGGCCTCCCAAAGTGCTGGGATTACAGGCCTGAGTCACCGCGCTGGGCTGAGCTGGTGTCTTAACACCACTGTTTAAATGCAGAAACCAAGGCCTCGCTGGTTAATGAGCTGTAATGTTATGCAGAGAATAGTGGGCAGGCACTTCCTGGGCACACCCTGCATGGACTGTGCAGCCAAAGCCCAGGAGTGCCCTTCTGCTCAGGACACCTGTGCCTTTGGCGGCATGGCAATAGCTTGTCTGCTTGTTTTCCTCCCTCTCTTGAGTGTATACTCCTGAGGGAGTCCCAGCACCTAGCACAGCAACAGGCGTACCCGCCCTGTGTTTGCTGAACGAGTGAGTGGATGAGGACTCAGCCCCACTTCAGTCTCCAGACCCTAGATGCCCCACACGCTCCACTGTGCCAGCCCTTGATGCCCAGGCTCATGGGTGGAGAAAGGCACAGCAGCGGAAATCAGCAGAACCGGAACTGCAGGCAGGGGTCCCAGGGAACAAAGCAGGCCGTCAGGTAGAGCAAATCAGGAAGGCTTCCTGCACAAGTGAGTTTTGAGGTAGGGTCTTTCCAACTTTTAGACTATGAATATGCATAAACATGCAGAAAAGTGCAATAAATATCCATCAACGCCCCCCAGATACAACAATTGCTAGTATTTTGTCATATTTGCCCTTGAAGGGGCCAAGGGCTTGGCCCTCTGAAGATTCACTGAAAAATCGACTCCAGAAAGGCTGATAAATTGGAGAAAAGGCATACAAATTTATAATGAATGTGTACATGGGGAGAATCACAGAGGAACTGCTCACCCCACACTGGGGATCGGAAGCTTCTATACCATCCTGGCAAAGCAGGTTATGGGAGGGGAGGAAGAGCAGTTCTGGCGAGAGGATTACTGGGGAGAATGAATGGGTCAGGGAACAGGAATGAGCCATTGTACCTGTGAGAGGGTCTGTTCAGGTGGGGTCATTCTCGGTCTTCAGGAAGGGAAGAGGCCGTGATTGTATAGTGGGTAGTTCTCTGCGTTGTGGCCACAGCAACCTCAGTTCGTATCCGAGTCACGGCACCAAAAAAAAAAGGAAGGGAAGAAAAAAACCATTGTTCCCTTTGGTGGGTCTGGATCTTAGACAGATACAGGTTTTTGGAGGGACAGTGGTCCCGGGGAGGGCCAGAGAGACCATGAGGCTTCTTCAGTTCAGCGTGTCCAAATGCCGTATCTTGGTATATTGGTTTCTGAGCCCCAACACCCTATTTATTGGGTGTGTGTATATATATTTATGTAATGTTTTCTGAACTATTTGAATCTAAGATGCTGTAGACACCCATAAACACTTTAGCACCTCCTAAGACTGAGCTATTGGCCAATATTCCACACGGATCCTTTTCTTTGGAGATGGAGTTTTGCTCTTGTCGCCCAGGCTGTAGTGCAGTGGTGCAATCTCAGCTCACTGTAACCTCCGCCTCTTAGGTTCAAGTCATTCTCTTGCCTCAGTCTCCCAAGTAGCTGGGATTACAGGCACATGCCATCACTCCTGGCTAATTTTTGTATTATTAGTAGAGATGGGGTTTCACCATGTTGGCCAGGTTAGTCTCAAACTCCTGACCTCAGGTGATCCACCCACCTCACCCTCCCAAAGTGCTGGGATTACAGACATCAGCCACTGCCCCCCGCCCCATGGATCGTTTTCTAACATCCAGCTCATATTCAAATTTCCTTAATTATCCTAATTTTGTTTTTTTAGTTGGAGTCTCATTCTGTCACCCAGGCTGGAGTACAGTGTGGCACGATCTCAGCTCACTGCAACCTCTGCCTCCTGGGTTCAAGCAATTCTCCCACCTGAGCCTCTCAAGTAACTTGGATTACAGGTGCCCGCCACCATGCCTGGCTAATTTTTGTATTATTTGTAGAGACAGGGTTTCACTGTGTCGGCAAGGCTGGTCTCGAACTCCTGACCTCAAGTAATCTACCCTCCTCAGCCTCCTAAAGTGCTGTGATTACAGGTGTGAGCCACCACACCCAGCCCTTTTTTCTTAAAAAAATAAATAAATAAAAATAAAATAAAATAAATATAAAGGAGGGGCTCTTTCCTGACTTGATAAAGGGTCTTTCCACTTTTTTTTCTAGATGGGGGTCTCACTCTGTCACCCGGGCTGGAGTGCAGGGTCATGATCTCAGCTCACTGCCACCTTTACCTCCCAGGCTCAAGTTATCCTCTAACCTCACATTCCCAGATAGTTGAGACTACAGGCATGTGCCGCCACATCCAACTAGTTTTTTATATTTTTGGTAGAGATGGAATTTCACTATGTTGCCCAGGCTGGTCTTGAACTCCTGAACTCAGGCCTCGCAAAGTGCTGGGATGAGCCATCATGCCTGGCCTATCCTAATTTTTAAAAACAAGGATTCAATCAGCGCTCATGCATTTGAGGCAGGTGTAAGTGCCGTTGACTGAGTAGGAAGCGTTTGTCACGGGAAGCTCTGAGGTCACTATGGCACCGCCACTCTCCAGGTGGTGAGCCAAGTTTGGGGGCCTCGAGGCTTCAACTGAGGAGTTGGCTCTGCCACAGTGGTGAATTAGAGCCAGGCGGTATAGAAAATTGTGCCAGACACTCAGCGAAGGTCGCTTTTGCTGTAATTTAACAGACTCCCTGCAGGCACCGCGTCCTTCCCAGTCTCAGCTGTGGGTCAGGTTCTGGGGATACCCTTGGATGAGGCAGCCCCTCTGGAGTCTGTCTGGCTTGCCCACCTGCCTCTCTGTTCCCATTTTTCCTCCCTCTGTCTCTCCCTCCCTCCTTTGCCCTTAAGAACTTAATCAGACCCACTGAAGAGCCTCCTGGGGGAGCAGCTGGCACCAGGACAGAAATAGCACCAGCAGAAATCTTGTCTCTGCCAAAGCCTCCAGTCCTGGCCAGAGTTGCAGGGAGTGAGGGGTTGGGGAAGAGATGACTCAGAACACCTTCCTCCCCTGTGAGACCCTACATCTGGGCCAAAGAGGCTCAGAGCCCACAGAATTTAGGACTCAGGAGGGATTTCCCCACTCAGCCCCTGCCATCTGAAGCTGGGGGAGGCGGGTGACAAAGCACCTTCTCTAGAGGCCAGCTCAGGTGAGGAGCCGTAAGCCTAGGGAAGCAGGACCCCACACAGGCTGCACCCGGGCTTGCTTCTGGTCTCACTCTGCCTCAAGGTGAGGAGTCTAGGGGTTCAGGAGACATGCCACCCTGTGGGCACTCCCCTTCCAGGTCGGGCTTAGGGACTGAAATCAGAATTCCTTGCCAGACAGTCACCCGCCCACTTCCCCACAGAAGGGGCCACTGAGCAGGGCAGGTGGCAGTGCCAGCGAGCAATGCTAATTCACAGGGTGGCAAAGAGGTGGCTGGTTGTGGGGGTGTGGTTGGGCCTTGGAGGTGGAGACTGGGGTGTCCCCATGCATGTTTGCAAGGCCCCTTACCATGTGGGTGAAGCAGAGGTGGGAAGAGAGGCAGGCAGGCTGGGGGCCAGGAGCTGTCCCTACCCGACTCTATGTGCCAGAAAAGAACTCTGAGGAGTCCAAGAATGCTGTCTGAATCTCACCCTCCATGTTGTCAGGAAGGTGTAGTTGACAAGGAAGGAAATGGCACATGCTTTATTTCACAGTTCGTTAGCTTACGTGGCCATGGCATGGATATTCTGAAGTCCATTTAACCTGGAGGCAAAAGTTATCTTCAGTGTCTCCCATTATCTTCAGTGTCCCACATTTCTCTTGGCCACAGGAGAGCCCTCCATTCCCAAGCCACTCTCTTGCAATCTTCTTTCAGCTCAAATGCAAAACCAGATTAAGAAGAAAAAAAGCTCCTAAGGAGCTTGGAAAAATGCCCTCATGTTCAGGGTCAGGTCAGGTCAGGTCTGTGGGGCTTGTTCCTTGATCCAGCCATATGGCTTCTCCATCACTGATTCATTCCTTTCTTCGGGCACTCATTCATTCATTTGCTATTATTAAGTGCCTACTGACTACGTGCCCAGCAGCAGGGATGGAAAGGTGAATAAGGCACAGGCCCTGTCCACATACCACACCAGGGTCAGGGAGGTAGGCAGTCACACTCCGTAAAGTGCTCTTGAGCTATGAAAAACACCTCTGCAGCCAGGTGTGGTGGCTCATGCCTGTAATCCCAGCACTTTGGGAAGCCAAGGCGGGTGGATCACGAGGTCAGGAGTTTAAGACCAACCTGACCAACACGGTGAAACCCCATCTCTACTAAAAATACAAAATATTAGCTGGGTGTGGTGGTGCACACCTGTAATCCCAGCTACTCAGGAGGCTGAGGCAAGAGGCAGGAGAATGGCTTGAACCCAGGAGGTGGAGGTTACAGTGAGCCCATATTGCACCACTGCACTCCAGCGTGGGTGACAGAGCGAGACTCCATCTCAAAAAAAATAAAATAAAAAAGAAAATGAAAAACATCTGTGCAGAATGCAGTCAAGGGTCAAGGTAGAGAGTGGCCACATCTACCTGGGAGGTGAGAAGGTCAGGAAAAGCTTCCGAGGGTGCTGACCCTAGACCTGGTCTCCACGAAGAATGGGCAGGCATTTCAGGCAGAGGGAGGAACACTGACAAAGGCATGGAGCTGTGAAATGGTCCCGCACGTTCAGTAGCTCTTGCAGGAACGAGTGACTAAGCCTGCTTGTAGTACTTTTCAGTGGCTACACTATTCACTCTTTTGGTGCTGAGCATCGACCTAAGCCATATACTTTTAAAAAGACTCCAGGGAAAGTGACATATTAAGTTACAGTTACAGCCCTTGTGCCTGATGGAATCCTTTAGCCTTAGGCAGAGGCTCCTGGTGCTCACGGCTCTCTAGCCATAACACCCCCAACCCTGCGCTCCTACCCCACAGTACGCACAGCACTGCCCAGCTCCTTTATTCTGGACACATAAAGCAGGTAAGGGCTGAAAAGTAAACCTCTAGCTGCTATTGACCCCAGGAGCAGGGTCTAATGGTCCATTCTTCCATCCCAACCTCCCAGGGAGGGGTCAGCTGTGTAATCTGAACCCTCCATTGGTGATAGGCTTAGGTTGAGTGGAGAATGAAAGTTTTCAGATTTTTTTCTTTTTTTTTTTTTTGAGATGGAGTCTTGTTCCGTCACCCAGGCTGGAATGCACTGGCACCGTCTCAGCTCACTGAAACCTCCGCCTCCCCAGTTCAAGTGATTCTCCTGTCTCAGCCTCCTGAGTAGCTGGGACTACAGGCATGTGCCACCACGCCCAGCTAATTTTTGTATTTTTAGTAGTGATGGGGTTTTACCGTGTTGGCCAGGCGGGCCTCAAACTGCTGATCTCAGATGATCCGCCCACCTTGGCCTCCCAAAGTAGCTGGGATTACAGGCATGAGCCACCATGCCTGGCCTGTTTTCAGATTTCTTAATTCCGATGGTTGCTAAAGGAGTTGGTCATTCAAATCTCCAATGGGAAGTAGGGATTTAGCTGTGGCCTTCCAGAAAGCTGCTGCTACCCCATCGTAATGTTCCCTCTGTGCCTGATTCTCTACCTTAAAAATTCATTTCTCTGGGTTATGCATTGGGGTGCAGGGTGGTGGTGGGAGAGTGGCCTAAAAATGCATGTGTCCTCCAGAGGTGACACCTACGTCATCACCATGCTGTTGAGACTGAGCTCATCTGACCTCTTTCTCTGCATCCGAAGGGTCTAAGCAGGGACAGGATCATTGGTGCATGGAAGTGGGGGCTTCTTGGAGGGAGGAAGGTGCAGAAAGGGAAGTGGGGTACCTTGAAGACCCACTTCAGGCTTTAGCTCGGGAATGTCATTTCCCTTCACTGTTGTTAGAAGCACAGACCACATCTGACAGGTCACAGAGTAGATAATTCACCCATTCATTCATTCATTCATTCATCTATTCAGTCAGTCCTTTATCAAATCTGTATTGAGCAGGCCCGTTTGGGGGCTCCATGATGAGTTAGGGTAGCTGCTGTCATACCTCCTGCTCCACTTAGCTGTCTCACCTTGTGCTATGGCTGAATCCTCCCTCCACCTGGGACCCCTTCTCCATCAGACCATGAGTCTGAAGCTCACAGTCACCTCTCAGCCTGTTCTGGCCCCTTTCACCATCTAGGATCACTCCTTCCCCTCTTACATCAGTGCTGACTCTATGCTTCACCAGAATTCCCTCTCTCCATTGATGTCAACGCATTTACTCATCAAATCTTGCATCTTCTGGAGAGCAGGATCCTGGGATCCTTTCATGTTTGTGTCCCTCCACAGATGTGTACACAGTGCTTGATTAATGCTGAATGGGTGAATGAATGAATGGTGGGTATGTTGGATTTCTTCAGGTTAATGTCAACCCCATATGGTTCCAAGTGTCCTTCATCAATAAGCTGGAGGCATTTAGAAACTGAGAGTGTTTTCCTGGTACACTGACACAGGATGCATCTGTCCTGAGTGTATGTGTGTGTGTTCTTTTAGATTAACATAGGATGTATCTGTTCTGAGTGTGTGTGTGTGTGTGTGTGTGTGTGTATGAGAGAGAGAGAGAGAGAGAGAGAGAGTGTGTGTGTGTGTGTTCCCCTTAAATCATAGGGAAAGCTTGTGCTTGGCCGTAGTCAGTATGTTTCCTGCTTTGTTGGGAGTTAGTGGGGATTCAGAAGGCCATTTCTCTGGGCACAGTCCTGGGGATGCTTTAAGGATTGTTATAACTGTTAGAGTCTCTGACTTTTACATGATCTTACAGTATACCAAGTTTATTCACAACTGCTTCTCACAACAGCCCTATCTTGTCTTACAGAATTAGAAATGATTGTCCACACCTACTTGAGGCCACTCAGCTGTGAGGGCAGAGCAGGTCTTTTCCCCTGGGTCTCAGCTCTCCTCCCTCCCCCTTGGGTTCCCAGGTTCCCCACCCTAACTAACAGAGGGGCCCAGGAAAGACACACACCTGTTCTGTCTCAGCAGGACCAGGGGCCATGTCCCTCATCTCATGGCTTCGGTGGAACGAGGCCCCATCCCGGCTGTCCTCCAGGAGCCCTGCTGAGATGGTGCTGGAGACACTTATGATGGAGCTGACGGGGCAGATGCGAGAGGCTGAGAGGCAGCAGCGGGAGCGCAGCAATGTGGTCAGGAAGGTCTGCACTGGTGTGGACTACAGCTGGCTGGCCAGCACACCCCGACCCACCTATGACCTCAGCCCCAGTGAACGGCTGCAGCTGGAGGATGTCTGCATCAAGATCCACCCATCCTACTGTGGGCCTGCCATCCTCAGGTGAGCGTTGGGAGGGGGAACCCTGTTGGGCTGCAGGCTCCAGGAAAGCTGCAGTGGCAGGGGCCTGAGGCCACCATGACTAGAGCCAGAAAGCCTGGATGACCTAGTTATCTGTTAGAAGGAGCAAGAGGGGAAAAGGAATCTGAAAGAGACCAGGAATGCTGGGCTAGGGTTAGAGTCCAGCAGGAGGCAGGAGGCAGCTCCTGGAGGCGTGTGAGTTTTGATTCATGAGAACACAATGCCTTTGAGTTTCTCTTCTCGTGCCCAAATTGTCATTGTCCTGGATTTTAATTTACCTGGCTTCTTTTCTTTCATTAGTTATTATCTTCTTGGAGAAATTTTCCCAGATGTCTCTCCAAAATCGGATTCTTAATTATCCTAGCTTATGTTAGCTTTCACACTAGTCTGCCCACAGGTGAGTGAGCGTGCGTGTGTGTGTGAGAGAGAGGGAGAGAGTGTGTGTGTATATAGGAAAAGTTCAGACAGAACCCTGGGGCACTGCTTGGGTACAACAGTGTTCCTGAATGTAAACGTGACCTTACTGAAGTTGTGACCACATGGTCCTGTCTCAGAAGGATTGGTGCTGATGTCAAAGAAGCATTGGATAATTTCCAAATCATTCAAGTTCTTCATCTACACTTCTTTCTGTAAAGGAATATGAATCAAAACATCTTAAAATTCCTGTTAGTCTCCCAAAATCTTCCCTCACCAACATATGCATTAATTGTACACCTTTTTCTTTGAAATTGCCTTTAAAGCTCCTCTCCTTCAGCCCTGTTCACCTTCTTCAGCCCCATCCACATTCCTTGTTTTTCATAGTTGCTTTCACCACCCCTCCCCTTTCTTCATCCGGGCGGAGAACCTCACCCTCCTCCAGTTTTCTGATTCTGCACTGCAGAAGCCTCCCAAAGTGTATCTATTCCAGAAGCACCTGGGGACAGGGGTGGGTCATGGGATGGAGCTGCTGATGAGGGAATCTGGGCTAGCAAATCAATCCTCAAAAGTGAGCGGGAAGGCTGGGTATACATAGGTCATGATTTTCCTGGCTCATTTCCCATCTCATGTCACTGCTGAGAAGACTGAGAAGTCCTGACTCTCAATCTGGTGGAGGAAGTCTGGTATTAAATAGACTTGCTGACCTAACTCATGAGCTCTAAGCAGAGCTAGCCTAGGCAGAGCAAACAGCTTGGGAAAACACACAGCCCCCGGGAGAACCTGGGACATGTGGGGGCCACAAGTGATTCTTCCCAGCTGATGTGCAGGGTCTTCTGGGGAAGTATCAGGGGACCCCTGTGCATGGCAAACAGCTCACCTGGAAGGAATATCACAGGGGCAGTGACATCATCAGATATATGTTTCAGAAAGATCATGCTGGCCAGTGGGTAAAGAGACAGGAGAGGCTTAGCCAGAAGGCCTCGCATCAGTAAGGCTGCCACAGCAAAGGACTCCCCTTAACGCTCTGTCATCAACAACCTTAGGTAAGTGTCAGGATCTTTACACACCTTAGTTCATTATAGCTCACAAAAAGGCCGCTATCATCTCAGATTACAGACGAGGAGGCTGAGGCCCACGGAGGCCAGAAGTGGCAGAGCTGGGTTTTGAACTCAGGATTGGTTGAAGCAGTAGCAACGTGGGGTGGTTCCTGATGCGCTTCAGGAGCAGGGTAGAGTGGGCAAACTGGCCACCAGGATGTACGGGCAGCCCCTGGGGTTAGACACCCGGGGTGCCAGGCTCGCTGTTGCGGGTGAATGGTCCCACGCGCCCTCCCCTCCCGCCCAGGTTCCGGCAGCTGCTGGAGGAGCAGGAGCCAGAGGTGCAGGAGGTGTCCGGGCTTTTCCGCTCGGTGCTGCAGGAGGTCCTGGAGAGGATGAAGCAGGAGGAGGAGGCCCATAAGCTGACGCGCCAGTGGAGCCTGCGGCCCCGCGGCAGCCTGGCCACCTTTAAGACCCGCGCGCGCATCTCCCCCTTCGCCAGCGACATCCGGACCATCTCCGAGGACGTGGAGAGGGACACGCCGCCGCCGCTGCGGTCCTGGAGCATGCCCGAATTCCGGGCTCCCAAAGCTGACTGACCCCTGCCGCTCCCCTGCCCAGAAGTGGAGCCGTCTACAGGGGCATGATAGGCTGGTGACCGGGGCGCCGGGCCCTGGAACCTCCCCACCTAGCCCTGACGAGGAGACGGAAACCCCAGGCGGCCCCATCCCAAGACGCTGCTGTACAATGAAGCAATTCCCCGGCCCACCCTCTTCCTCTGGCCACAAAGCCGAGTTAGGTCCTAGAGCAGCACCGCCCTCGCCCTCGCCCTCGCCCTCTCCTGTAGCCTGCAGGAGCACCCCTTCCCAAACTGGCAGATTCAAGACCTTGGAAGACAGACCATTGCCCCGTCCTCATCTCCTGCTTCTGCCTAAAAGGGGAGAGTTGCCCTACCTTTTTACAAGACCTAGAGTCTTACCCCAGTTTCAGGGATGTCCCATTCACTCCCCTACCCCCATCCCCAATGATCAGGGACCTGTTTAATGGTATCCATTCTCGCTAGTGACTGGCTGAGCTCACCACTGCAGGTGGGTCACAGCCTCACGGACAGGTACAGCTGGAAGCGACCAGAGAGACAATTAGATCCACTCTCTTTAGCTAGTAAATTCGGAAATTGAGGCTCAGAGAGGAACACTTCTTCCACCTTTAACTGTAGCCAGCTCCTCATGAACAGTGAGATTGTTCCTGCATGAATAGTGTCTGTTCCTGAGTCTGGAATCCTGGGCTGGGATGGGACAGGTCCAAAGGATACATCTCTACCTACCTGTGGCCTGATCTATCTCTTACCTTGGCACTGGGATGAGGGTCTAAGCTGCTCTCCAGAAGTGTAGCTAGGGGTGGAGGCAGGTTACTCATTACCCCATGCCACAGTGTCATCAGATGGGCTATGGCCAGTGCCTAGCAGCTTCTTCCAGAGGCCTTCAGACGCTGCTCTAAAGAGCCCAGATTTTTCAATTCCAGGATTCCCCCTTCTGCAGCTGGTCACACTTGCTCTCTGACTTTCTCCAGGAAGTGATGCCCAAAGCCCTGACTGACCATGAGGCACCTGAGTGAAATGTTCTAGAAGAGCTTCCTGCAGACTTCACTGTCCTTCCCTTTTCTAACATGGTTAGGCCTTGAGGATGGGCATGTGAATTACCCAATGTGTGGATCACTCGTGGAAAATCTGGAAGGCCAGGAGGCCTTCCCGCCTTCCCATACACTCAGGGGTTGAAGTGGAGTATAAAGGGGATGGGTGGGGAAAGTGTCTACCCTCAACTACCAGTGCACATGCAGAAAATGCAAGTGGATCTTAATAGTAGCCTAAATAAAATGCCAGGAGGAGATATAATCAACAGAGAGTTGGGCGGGGCCAGAATCTCTGTATTCCCTCAGTGGAAAAAGGTTTTTTTTGAATGATTTGGTTTTGAATGATTTTCACTGGAATCTGGACAGAGAATCATAGGATGGTGGAAAACCTCTGATCCAACACTATCAAGGTGGAAGAGTTGATTGGCTTATTAATATAATTGGTAGAGGTTGAGAATCATTTAAAATATACATGTTAAACATCTTACATATTTTATTTGAAGACATAAAAAGTTCACTTGATTGCCAAACTTTTTTTTTTTTTGAGATGGAGTCTTGCTCTGTCACCCAGGCTGGAGTGCAGTGGCACAATCTTGGCTCATTACAACCTCCACCTCCTGGGTTCAAGCGATTCTCCTGCCTCAGCCTCCCAAGTAGTTGGAACTACAGGTGTGCGTCACCATGGCTGGCTAATTTTTGTATTTTTAGTAGAGATGGGGTTTCGCTATGTCGGCCAGGCTGGTCTCAAACTCCTGACATTGTGATCCACTCTCCTTGGCCTCCCAAAGTGCTGGAATTATAGGCGTGAGCCACCAGGCCCAGCCACCAAACTTTTGATTAGGTGCAAGCTGTGCTTTTTTGTGACCTGTATGTTTTGTCTGGTGGGAGTCCTACACTTACGTTTTCTTGGTTTGTACTTCAATCATAACAGTAAGAACAACTGGCATAAAAGAATTCTGGAACAAGCAGAAGTGACCCTTGGTAAGCAGACAGCTCAGCTGGTAGGGGCAAAAGTGTTGGGGAGAATTAGAAAAAGGTCTCCATACTGTGGGCTTTCTGGGTGCCCTGGATGTGGGTCAGCAGATGTTTTAGAGGAAATGGTTAACCGGGAGGGAGATTCAAAGGCGGCTGGATAAGAGAATATCTATTTTTCTTCCCTATCACCCTACACATACGTATTCTCTCCAAAGAAAGGGAAGACCTGAGGCTTTCAACGTGGTGTTCTTTTTTGAGTTTAAGTAACTGGCTGCCAATGAAAACCTTTCCTGCCGACTGCAGGCATGTGGACAGAACCCACCAGCCCCCTCGACACTGGTTGTCCTACTACAGGTAATCCCAGCTGGTGGCTCTCAAAGTCATGAGGGTCCAGAAGTTGTTCCTCTGGATTCAGGTTGTTAAAGGGACTAATGATGTCTGCCTCCATTTCTATTTTTAAAAACTCACTAACCACAAATGAAAGAACAAAAAGTTTGAGAGTGTCCTTGTAAGTATTTGATGAGTGGCTGGTGGTATTTTGGAGGGGACAAGTTGAGCATGTTTAAGACTGCCACAGACAGCCTGTTTGCACCCAGATCACCACCTCTAGCCACTAGAGGGAGTGGGTGAGAGGCTTGGACTACTTGGTGACTACAATTTTTTTTTTTTAGCTTATTATGAAAATTTTCAAACACACGAAAAAGTAGAGGGAAAGTTTAAGAAGCCCCATAAGGTTTAATGGTTACTAACATTTGGCCATATTTTATTTTTGTGTGTGGAGTATTTTAAGATAAATCCCAAGATGTTGTGGCACTTCATCTCTGAATACTTCAGTATGCACTACATAGGCATAAGAACTTCCTATAAGACTATACGGCCGGGGTCCAAAGTGGCTCCCGCCGGAGGTCGTGGTCCTTGCGAAGGCGAGGTCATGAGTTCAAGGCTAACCTGAGCAACCTTATAAGCTCAAACTGATTGGCAAAAAAAAAAAAAAAGACTATACGGCCGGGCATGGTGGCTCAAGCCTGTAATCCCAGCACTTTGGGAGGCCGAGGCGGGTGGATCACGAGGTCGAGAGATCGAGACCAACCTGGTCAACATGGTGAAACCCTGTCTCTACTAAAAATACAAAAAATTAGCTGGGCATGGTGGTGCGTGCCTGTAATCCCAGCTACTCAGGAGGCTGAGGCAGGAGAATTGCCTGAACCCAGGAGGCGGAGGTTGCAGTGAGCCGAGATCGCGCCATTGCACTCCAGCCTGGGTAACAAGAGCAAAACTCCGTCTGAAAAATAAAATAATAAAATAAAGACTATACTACCATAATCACTCATAACAAAATTAACAGTAATTTCTTAATATTATCTAATGTCCTGTCCATATTCAAATTTCCCTGTTCTCAAGAAATGATTCTTGCAGTTTATTTCTTTGAACAAGGATCTAATCAAGCCGCACACGTTGACAAGAAAGTTGAAGTTTATTTTTGTTGTTATTTTATTTGCGGCTTGTTTTAAAGTGGTTATATAGTATTATGTCATTCCACAGTTAAGCATTGTTTAATGATAGAGCGCTTATAGAGCACTCATGTTAACATGCAATAAGTTAATGACTGAACGAACTCAAATGATAAAAATTCTGCAATTTAGCCTAATGATTCTCTTACTCAGATTTTTATTGTGTCATTTGATTAAAATTCTTCCACAGTTGCAACCAAGATTCCTTCATATTTTGAAAAGAAATGTTAAAAATTGAGAGTAGACTGGGCATGGTGGCTCAGACCTGCAATCCCACATTTTGGGAGGCCAAGATGGGCAGATCACTTGAAGTCAGGAGTTCAAGACCAGCCTGGCCAATATGGTGAAACCCTGTCTCTACTAAAAATACAAAAATTATCCAGGCATGGAGACACATGCCTGTAATCCCAGCTACTCAGGAAGCTGAGGCAGGAGAATCATTTGATCCCAGCCGGGAGGTGGAGGTTGCAGTCAGCTGGGATGGCACCACTGCACTCCAGCTGGGCAACAGAGCCAGACTCCATCTAAAAAAAAAAAAATTGATAGTGACAGTATATTTAATATGACTTTCCATTTGATGAAAATACTTGTCACATCATATGTTTTCTTTTCTAGGACATGCTTGCAAATAGCAACCTAAAACCTTCTCCCTTTTTCTTGCCACTTAGAAACAAAACACTAAAATTTATCAAAATAACTCAAGGGAAATCTTAAGAATTCCAGTAACAGATAATGAAAAAATTTTGTCTATTTTTGATGCCATCGTTTATCATGTAGTTAAATTTCAGTCTATGTCTTAATATTCATGTGATCTCCCAACAAAGCACAAAGTTACTTCAAAATGTATTCATAGACAAATTATTTTTATTGATTTGTCACCTTGACTCATTTGTTAAAAAAGGAAATTGGCATCTGTCTCCTTTTACGAATATTATTACATATTGCATCAAATTAGCATTATTAAAGACTTAAACATAAGACCTAACACCATAAAAACCCTAGAAGAAAACCTAGGCAAAACCATTCAGGACATAGGCCCAGGCAAGGACTTCATGGCTAAAACACCAAAAGCATTGGCAACAAAAGCCAAAATAGACAAATGGGACTTAATTAAACTCCAGAGCTTCTGCACGGCAAAAGAAACAATCATTAGAGTGAATTGGCAACCAACAGAATGGGAAAAAACTTTTGCAATCTACGCATCAGACAAAGGGCTAATATCTACAAAGAACTAAAAATCTACAGAATCTACAAAGAACTAAAACAGATTTATAAGAAAAAAACAAACAAACCCATTCAAAAGTGGGCAAAAGATATGAACAGACACTTTACAAAAGAAGACATATATGAGGCCAATAAACATATGAAAAAAATGCCTATTATCCCTGGTCATTAGAGAAATGCAAATCAAAACTACATTGAGATACCATTTCACACCAGTTAGAATGGTGATCATTAAAAAATCTGGAGACAACAGATGCTGGAGAGGATGTGGAGAAATAGGAACACTTTGACACTGTTGGTGGGAGTGTAAATTAGTTCAACCATCGTGGAAGACAGTGTGGTGATTCCTCAAGGACCTAGAAATAGAAATTCCATTTGACCCAGCAATCCCATTACTAGGTATGTATCCAAAGGATTATAAATCATTCTATCATAATGACACATGCACATGAATGTTCATTGCAGCACTGTTTACAATAGCAAAGACGTGGGAACCAACCCAAATGCCCATTGATGATAGACTGGACAGGGAAAATGTGGCACATATACACCATGGAATACTATGCAGCCATCAAAAACGATGTTTCTTTCCTTTGTAGGGACATGGATGAAACTGGAAACCATCATTCTCAGCCAACTGACACAACAACAGAAAACACCACATGTTCTCACTCATAGGTGGGTGTTGAACAATGAGAACACATGGACACAGGGAGGGGAGCATCACACCACACTGGGGTCTGTGTGGGGGAACTAGGGGAGGAGAGACAGCGGTAGGTAGGGAGTTGGGGAGGGATAATATGGGGAGAAATGCCAGATATAGGTGATGGGGAGGAAGGCAGCAAACCACATGTATGTACCTATGCTACAACCTTGCATGTTCTTCACATGTACCCCAAAACCTAAAATGCCATAAAATATATATTTTTTTTAAATTAGCATTATAATACTAAGGTGCTAAAGACAAAAACAAAAATTATTTCTTTATCGTATTCAAGGCAAAAATAATAATTTAAGTTTCTAAAAATGTGCAAGTTTTTATATAACTGAAAAAGGTGTTCACAAGCCAATAGAGGTTGGGAAGTGTTTTCTAGAACATTTGTTGTATTGCATGCCAGTTACAATTCTTTTGCTGGCACAAATATAACATTCTTAAAGCCCTGCAGTAAAACTTGGAAGTTTTTCAACTCAGGCTCCCGTCTCAGCTAGGATTTGATTCAGGGAAAACGACATTCCAGAAACAAGCTGTTCTATCTGTGCGAACTGAGCACTGCCGCTAACTGCTTCCAAGGCACTTCTGGCACCTGCTCAGGGCCATGGGACTTTCTAGAATCCAGAGCAAAGGGTGATACAGTTGAGGTTAGCCTCTCCTTAGTAGAAAAGAAATCAAGCCACTAGGCAAAAGAAAAAAAAAAAGGCTCCAAATTCCAAACGGAATGGGAGAAATATGTACTTTATCCAAATAAGCCATCCGAATAATACTGCTATAAATGGAAAAGACTTTGTTGTCAAGAAATTCCTTTATTAGGCCGGGCGCGGTGGCTCAAGCCTGTAATCCCAGCACTTTGGGAGGCTGAGGCGGGTGGATCATGAGGTCGAGAGATCGAGACCATCCTGGTCGACATGGTGAAACCCCATCTCTACTAAAAATACAAAAAATTAGCTGGGCATGGTGGCGTGTGCCTGTAATCCCAGCTACTCAGGAGGCTGAGGCAGGAGAATTGCCTGAACCCAGGAGGCGGAGGTTGCGGTGAGCCCATATCGTGCCATTGCACTCCAGCCTGGGTAACAAGAGCGAAACTCCGTCTCAAAATAAAAAAAAAGAAAAGAAATTAAATTTGCAATTAAAAGTCTTTTCACATAGAAAACTTCAGGCCCAGATGGTTTTCCTTGGAAGGAAGAACACCTAAGGAAGAAATAATACCTATTTTACACAAACTCTTGCAGATAATTGAACAGGAATACTTATTCTATAAAGCCTGTCTACCCTGATTCCAAACTCTGACAAACACATTACAAAAAAGAAAAACTATAGTTCACTATTCATTCATGAACACAGATTTTAAAACTTCAAACAACACGTCAGCAAATCAAATCCTACCATATATAAAAAAAAAATGGGGCCAGGGGGCAGTGGCTCATGCCTGTAATCCCAGCACTTTGGGAGGCAAGGTGGGAGGATAGCTTGAAGCCAGGAGATCAAGGCCAGCCTGGGCAACACAGTAAGACTCCATCTCTACAAAAATAAATTTTTTTTTAGTTAGCTGGGTGCCATTAGCTACTTGGGAGGCTGAGATGGGAGGATCACTTGAGCCCAGGAGAGCAAAAGCTTGTTTCAAAACATAGTAAGATAATGCATTATGACCCCGTGGTATTCACCCGCACAATGCAAGACTTCTCTAACAATTTTACAATCAATTAATAAAATTCACCATATTAAGAAACTAAAATTTTTTAAACCCACATGATTCAGCAGAAGATGAAAAGAAGCATTTGACAAAACCCAACATCAATATAGAATAGAAATTCTCCAAGGAGTAGAAATAGAAGAAAACATCCCCAGCCTGACAACGGGTGTGTAGAAAACACCTGCAGCTGACGTCACATTGGTGTGACGTCACACAGTGACATCACACTAATACGATGGTGAAAATGAATGCTTTCCCCATTTCTATTTGACACTGAACTGAGATTAAGATAGAGCAGTAAGCCAGTTAAAAAATAAGAACTGGCTTTCAGTTTTTAAAAAAGAAAGTAAAAGTGTCTATATTTATAGACCTTCTAATAAAATGACCTTTCATATAGAAAATCCAGTAGAATCTACAAAAAAGCAATCAGAATGAACAAGGAGTTCAGGAAGGTTGCCAGATATAAGCTCAATATAAAAACATTCTATATACTATGAATTAACAATCAGAAACTGAAATTTTACAAACTAACATTTACCATAACGTCAAACACTATGAGACAGGTAAATATTCAAGATCTCTACACTGAAAACTATAAAACACAGTTGCCATGTTATTCACAACATGGCTATAACTGGGAATAGCCAAAAAGTTCATCAGTAGCACAGAGAACAGATGAATAAATTGTGCTGTATTCATACAACTGAATATTACAAAGAAATAAAACAGACAAATTACTGATACCTGGAACAATATTGAGGAATCCCACAGACATTACTGAATCTAAAAAACCAAGCACGAAAAGGAGAATACATACTATAATGATTCCATTGATATATGAAGTCCCAGAAGGAAAATAAGCTGTGGTGTGCTTATCTCTGGCTGGTGTGTGTGTGTGTGTGTGTGCGTGCGTGCGTGTGTGACTTCTTTTTGGCCTGGATGGCTGGTGTGTGTGTGTGTGCGTGCGTGCGTGTGTGACTTCTTCTTGGCCTGGATGGCTGGTGTGTGTGTGTGTGCGTGCGTGCGTGCGTGTGTGACTTCTTTTTGGCCTGGATGGCTGGTGTGTGTGTGTGTGCGTGCGTGCGTGTGTGACTTTTTTGGCCTGGATGGCTGGTGTGTGTGTGTGTGCGTGTGTGCGTGCGTGCGTGTGTGACTTCTTTTTGGCCTGGATGGCTATGTACATGCTCACTGGAAATGGGGGACAGGCTGGAGATCCCTTTGGCATGTTTGGAAATGCTTAGAACAAGTGAGCTGGATAGAAGCTGGGCCCCTGCTCCTTTAAAGTGAGCCCTTGGTATGTGAGAGGGAGACAGAGAGGGGGCAATAGGCAAGAAGAAGCCTTCTAGGGTGATGGAAGTGTTCTACATCTTGATATGGTTGGTGACAATATGAGTGCATACATTTGTAAAACATCATACAACTGTGCTCTCACGTGATTGTATTTCACCATATGTAAGTTATACCTCAGTCAAATAAAAAGAGGGAGAAGGGACATCGGTCCTTCCTTACCCACTCATGAAGTCTCCAAAGATATACAGGCCATTGAGGTTTGGGAATTCACAACCCCGACAGACATAACCTCCAGTGACCGACTTCCCCACTGCGTGGCCATAAGCATAGATTGGCAGAACATCATCTGTCCAGGAGAGAGGAAAGAGAGTGAATGCCGTGGCCTAAAACTGAAAGCTTCAAGGAGGAAGAAGGGGACTTTTTAATGCAGTTGCCTAATTCAGTGAAGAACACTTTATCTCCTGGTCTTCAGTAGGACAGGCAATCAAGTGAATCATGTTTATTCTCAATAGACCAGCCACAATATTTGCAAGCTTCCTACTTAACCGCTATCTGCAGGCAGAGAGGAAGCCAAAAATTCCCTCCATCTATGAGGCAGTGACCTGGAAATCCATACAGCTAAGCTTTCCCCATAGGTTGATATGGCAGATATCCAGGTTTAAGGATATGGAAAATGTCAGTCTGTAAGACTGTTTTGTAACTTAGAGGACAAGAAAAGACTAAGAAGTAGTGATAGAGTCAGAACACTAGAATTTGAGCCAGGTGGGGTTTCAAGCATGCCTCAATTACTAGTGTTTAAAAAGTGTCCTTGGCTGGATGTGGTGGCTCACGCCTGTAATCCCAGCACTTTGGGCAGTTGAGGCGGGCAGATCATGAGGTCAGGAGATCGAGACCATCCCGGGCAACATGGTGAAACGCCGTCTCTTCCAAAAATACAAAAATTAGCTGGGCGTGGTGGTGCGCGCCTGTAGTCCCAGCTACTCGGGAGGCTGAGGCAGGAGAATTGCTTGAACCCAGGAGGCGGAGGTTGCGGTGAGCCGAGATTGTGCCATTGCACTCCAGCCTGGGTAACAAGAGTGAAACTCCATCTCAAAATAATAATAATAATATGCCTAAAATTAATGTGGGTAACTCATTTAAAATACAAATTTCTGGGTCAATCTCATTCCTCCAATCCACCCAAAATTCACATTCTTTAGGTCTGAGGCAGAGTCTGGGAATTCACTTTTTTAAAACAGCCACGGCCAAGATGTGTCTGGTGCCAGCGAGTGGCTGGAGGACCACTTGGAGAAGTACTATGCCACAGGACACAAACGAGGCATTACGAAAATGACCTGCAGGGCAGGACATTCAGGTTTTATTCCCCACCTCCACCTCCACCTCCACCCCACTCAACTCATCCAAGAAGTCAGCCACAGAGCTTCTTTCTTACCCAAAGAGGCATTGTGACAGTTTTCTGTAGTAACACGCAAATCCTTCCTTTGCTCTCCAGCCATGGTTTCCGCCTTTCACAATGAGGTCAACCTCTTCAAACCTGTTCTGGCCCACGTCCCCGCAGAATATCCGGCCTCGGCCCTGGTGCGTGACGGGGTCCCCTCGGTCTACAGCACAGCGCCACATGTTTCTGATCCCATAGGCATAGATGGCGGGGTGGGCCCCTGGCTCAGAAACAAACGGATTGTCCAAGGGGACTCGGTACCGCTTACCATCTGAGCCCACCCCATTCACATCGATCCTTAAAACTTTTCCCAGCAGGGAACTTCTGAAAGAAAGAAGGCCCAGAAACAGAATCAGGTAAACGAGGAAAGCCACAGGACTGAAGAGTCCACCCAGAAGGGCTGACTCATAGTTGATGCCAAGAGACTGCTGGAGATCACATGGGAAGATGTGACTTCTTATTTTCCTTCATTTTTTTCTTTTTTTTTTTTTTTGTACCAGCAAGAATGAGCTTGAAGATTTTCTTTTAAATCTATACAAGATATTTAAGACTGCCCCATGTTTGGCTCAAAGAGAACTACTAGGCAAAGTTTGATGTGATCCTGGCCCACGTGACCCTGAGCAAGCTGCAGCTTCTATTCTTATTTTAATGATGAGGACGGCTTCTCTCTGACTTGGGCCAACATGACAATTTTTTTTTTAAATACTTACGGCCGGAGAGGCATGTTTATTCTTGATAAATATAATAAAGGGCAATTTAAACTTTGGTATTGGTTTACATGAGTCAATTCAAGGTCAGTGACTGGAGAACTGTATTAAGAGAAACCAGAGGTCAAAACACTCTTCAGGAAGGAGCCCTCTAACAACGTACATTTGAAGATTGGGGGCTAAAAATCCACTCTGAATGAACACCGTTAAGCAAAGGATGTACAATATCCATCAACATCTGTTTCAAAAACAGCATGCTTCTAAAATGATACATCTCTTTACAAAGTAAACCTTACAGTATTAATAACTACAGAGACACCACTGGGATGAGCTCCAGATCCCCCGCTGACTTCCATGAAGCACCCGTGGGCCACGGCTTAAGGCATCCGTCTTAATCCGGGGGCTTTAAGAACATCTTCTTTGCTTTAATCGGTTGTACGTCTCCATTTTCATCTTCTTCATAATTGGTATGGTCTCTCTTTCTGGCAAACTTTTTCCCAATTGTCCCCACCAAGGTCTCATATCTTCTAGCCATCTCTTCATCTGACACATCGAGCTCCACTGTTTCATCTTCAACGTCTTCTGCTTTGCGCTTAGCATTCATATGAAGCATCAATTTCTCAACCTCAGGATTAAAGCCTCTGAATGACATTCTTTCATAGAGAAGATCTTCACATAATAAGAAACTCTGCTCTTATATTATGAAACTCTCTTTCTCTTTAAGCTCTGGCAAATCCCAGCACCAGTGCTCTTCACTAATGATTTTCTTTTCTTCCTCTTCCAGTTGTTTCTGGGTTTCGAGTCCAGTCCCCTTTGCATAAACTTCATGCAAAGCAGATTCTTGGACAACTTTGTCTTGCACTCGGCTGCCATGGTGGCTCCCGCCCAGCGCCGTATTCCTATGACAATTTTTTTAAAGAAGCTGGTTATATTGTTTGCTCTTTATTTAACAACATGGTCAGTTAAAAGAATAGAACAGAAGCTTTTGAGAGTCTCTGCCTGTGACTATGCTCTCTGGGGCTGACTTTCCTCATTTGAAAGGCAGAAGAGAGTAACTGAGAGCCTTGTGCCACCACTTCCTGGGAGGATGAGAAATTCCACACTCAAGTCAAGGGTCTGGGATCTAACGGACACAAAAATCAAAGGCTGCTATTATATTTAATATATTGGCCAGGCATGTGGCTCATGCCTGTAATCCCACATTTTGGGAGGCTGAGGTAGGAGGATAGCTTGAGGCCAGGAGTTCAAGAACAGCCTGGGCAATACAGTGAGACCCCACCTCTATTTAAAATATATAGCTAGATAAATATTATTTACCTTGCAGTGTGGTTGTGATGTAAGGGTTAAGTGTTATGTGTATATAGCATTTAATGCAATTCTTGAATCACCATAGGTATTTGACAAATGTTAGCTTTGTTTTATTTATTTATTCATTTATTTAGTTTGAGATGGAGTTTCACTCTTGTCACCCAGGCTGGAGTGCAATGGCACTATCCTGGTTCACCACAACCTCCACCTCCCGGATTCAAGTGATTCTCCTGCCTCAGCCTCCCGAGTAGTTGGGATTGCAGGCCTGCGCCACCACGCCCAGTTAATTTTGTATTTTTAGTAGAGACAGGAGTTCTCTATGTTGATCAGGCTGGTCTCGAACTCCCAACCTCGGGTGATCCGCCCACCTCAGCCTCCCAAAGTGCTGGGATTTCAGGCATGAGCCACCAGGCCCAGCTAGCTTTGTATTATTATAACCTCAATATTTTTATTACTAGGAACACTAGGAGCCAAGTGCTTACTGGGTGCAAAGAGCAGAAGGACAACATGACCTTTATTTAGGCAACTCAGCATCCCTGGGCTCTGGTGCCATATCATGTGGGTGGGGATTTGTTTTTTTCCGCTTACTCACTGTATGACCTCTGTGCCTCCATTTTCCTGTCTGTAAAATAGATATCATTATATGTATAATTCATAGGATTCATTCATTCCATGTGCAATTATGGGGCGACTCCCTTGTGCCAGGCACTGTCCTAAGTGCTGGTGATACATCAATTAACAAAATAGATATAAATTCTTGCTCTTGAAGGTTTTTAGAATTACCTTCTCAGATACATGTAAAGATTTAGACCAGTGTCTGACAAGCTGCAATCCCCCAATACACATTGGCTCTCAGTATTTAATTTCTCATGTGTCTCCAGGACCTAGCGCAGTGCCTGGAACACAGTGTACAATAATATTATTGAGTTGAATTGAATTAAATGATTAGTATTGTAAATAATGACCTGCTAATATATATTTAAAATCCTGAATTCTCCTTTCCATAACATTCTGATGGTTATATTGAGCATCAGTAATGCTAACTACCAAAATATACTACTTGTGAAAGTTTTGCAACAGAAAACCAAGTGTTCCTCCCACTGCCCCATCGGAGTGGACCACATCTTGCAGTATGTGATTTGAGTTGGATGCCGTCCCTGCAAAGACGTCATAGCAGCGTCTCACTCTAAAGGGACAGGGGCCCAGCCTCCATCCAGCTTACTTGTTCTGAGCATTTCCAAACATGCCAAAGGGATCTCCAGCCTGTCCCCCGTCCCCAGTGAATACATACATATAGCCATCCAGGCCAAAAAGAAGCTGTCCGCCATTATGGTTTGAGGCCGGTTCTTCGATCTCCAAGATGACTCTGGAAGAGAAAAAAGAAACCATGCGTTAGGCTTTGACACAAGCTGAAGCTGCATCCTCTTGAGATACCCAAAAATGACTAGTCCAAGCCACCAAAATTTGCCAAGCCAGCGAGACCTGCTTCTGAGTTTTCAAGGATCACTAAGTAGGTAGCTTCGGGGCTCTGAGATGCCCCTTATTTCCTGGTTAACTCTTTCATGGCTCATTTTTTGTTTTCTTTTTTTTTTTTTTTTGGGACAGAGTCTCACTCTGCACCCAAGCTGGAGTGCAATGGTACAATCACAGCTCACTGCAACCTCTGCCTCCAGGTTCGACCAATTCTCTTGCCTCAGCCTTCCTAGTAGCTGGGATTACAGGCACAGGCTGTAAACATGCCTGAATAATTTTTTGAGACCTTGCCCTGTAGCCCAGGTTGGAATGCAGTGGTACAATCTCGGCTCACTGCAACCTCTGCCTCCTGGGTTCATGCGATTCTCCTGCCTCAGGGTAGCTGAGTAGCTGGGGTCTACAGGCATGTGCCACCAAGCCCGATTAATTTTTGGTAGAGACTGGATTTCGCCATGTTGGCCAGGCTAGTCTTGAACTCCTGACCTCAAGTGATCCGCCTGCCTCGGCTTCACAAAGTGTTGTGATTACAGGCATGAGCCACCATGACCAGCTAATTTTTCTTTCATGCCATGACTTAATGAGCTGTGGACCTGGCCAGGCTAACAGCTGTTCTTTTCTAGGGTTTGCCTTTACTATCTGCCCTATCAGGACGTTCCATCCCTTCCTTCGAGCAACTTAAGAGGGTTAACCTATCAGTTCTTTATGCTTTTTGCAATCCCCCAACCTGTCTACAATGAGAAAAGAGGCAAGAGAGAAAGAAGAAGGGGAAAAAAAAGGCAGAGTGGTAGAGCGGAAACAGCACGAGCTTTGTATCAGTTAGAACAGTCCTCACCGGGCCATGCATCCAGTAGCTTGATGGCCTGTATCACAGCTTCCAGTGAGAATGAGAAATCCCACATTCAGAGTAAAGGGCCTGGGATCTAATGGCCGCATAATAATCACAGGCTATTATGTTTCATAGGTTGATACTATCTCTCATCTTTTCTCAGATTCCTATGGCTGCTGGTCCTTGCTTACCCTTTGTAAAGACAGGCAAGCATGGCTTTACTTGCGGTAACTGTAAGGTGACGGCTACACCCCATTAAACAGCCTTGACTCAAGACTCTAACCCGGGCCTCCCGCAGTCAGCAGTGACTCCTTTCTCAACAGGTCCGGCTAGTGCTGTAAATCCGGTAAAGCTCCCCTCTGCTGTGTCACCGGCCTGGCATGATTTCCGAACATGGCACAGCTGCAGGCTCTCCCGAGTATGTCTCACCTCTCTGATTTCAGGTCAGCTTTGTTGGGATCAGCCCGAGAAACCTTCATCTCACTAATCCGGATCTTTTCTTACTTTTTTCTTGTCCAGGCACGAATAATAAATGTAGAACTTGCGGTTGTGGTGGAATTTGGGGTGAAAAGCCAACCCCAAGAAGCCCCTCTCATCCCGGATCCACGGGGTGGTCAACACGATGTTCTTGAGGTCCAGAAAGGGTTGCTCCAGGCGACTGCCGTCGGGGAGATAGACCCACACCACCCCTACCTGCTCGGCCACAAAGAGGCGATGGGTGCCGTCCCCAGCATGGACCATGGAGACGGGGTTCCTGAGCCCGAGCTGCAGGCAGCCCCGGGGGTCCTGGGCCACCACGCCCAGGTTGCGGTGGAGATAGTCGTTCCTCAGGACGTTGGGGAAGCAATAGTCCTTGTCAGGAAGGTCCAGGAGGCGGCAGAAGCGGGCGCCATCGGTTCCTGGGGACTCCTGGGGGCCGCGGTCGCTGGTCAGCAGGGAGATGGGGGAGTGGCAGTTAGAATGGAAGGCGGAGCAGTAGTCAGAGCAGAGGCCCGGGAGATTCCGGGGGCGCGTCTGAGGGTGCTCGGCGTCGTAGAGGTGGGCTGCGTGGGGCGAGCACTCCCGGAAGAGAGCGCGGAGCTCAGGCTCAGCATCAGACCTGTCACACCCGCGCTTCTCTCAAGTTTTAAGCAAGCAGAAAGGAAAAATGGTCCTGGGGGAAGAAAAGCAGGATTCTGGAGTTTTTGTTACCAACTGCTGCTAAATCTCTTCTCTGTGATTTTCTGCCCAGTTTATGCTCCTGGAAGTCAGAAAGGGGGGAAAATCTCTCATATTCACTATATTGTCTCTAACATTTCAGCTTAGTTTGTGACTTTTAAAGTTTTATTAAACGATGCATGATTTTTTTTTTCAAAAGGATGTTACTAAATTTCTCACTCTCTTTTTATTTTTTAATTTTAATTTTATTTTTCATAGAGACAGCCTCACCCGGTTGCTCAGGCTGATCTCAAACTCCGGGCTTAAGTGATTCTCCTGTCTCCTCCACCTCCCCAAGTGCTGGGATTACAGACATGAGCCACTGTGCCAGCCCAGCCTCCTTTTCTTATAGATGCTCTATCTACCAAGATTTTAATTCTTTATACAAATCTGAAACAATTTGGAAAAAAAAATTCACATTGGTCCAATCTGGTTGTTGGACATACAGTATTATTTATTTTTTCTGTGCTTTTCCATATTTTTGGAATATTTTACAATGAAAAATACAATTATCAAAATGGACATTGGATGCATCAGTCTCAAAGATTAGGTGGCTAGCAATTTCTTCAATTATTTATTTAAAATATTTCAGTGTTTAATATATGCAAAGTACCATGCTGGAACCTATACACATTTGAATTGTGGCAATAGGGATATATGGCTGCTCCTTATGCAGACATATGAGGACTATTTGCCCAAATGAGTATCTGCTACTCGGACCTCCCTAGATTATAACATTTTTTTAGGAGTAAAATAGAATATTGTGAGCAGACGAGTGACTCCCAGTAGTGATAAAAGACAGAGGCAACAGAGATTAGGAAGGTAAGAAAGTCCAATTCAAGGCTGTACACAGCGGCTCATGCCTATAATCCCGGCCAGCACTTTAGGATACCAAGGCGGGCAGATCACCTGATGTCAGGAGTTCGATATCAGCCTGACCAATATGATAAAACGCCGTCTCTACTAAAAATACAAAAATTAGCTGGATGTGGTGGCGGGTGCCTATAATCCCAGATATTCAGGAGGCTGAGACAGCTGAATTGCTTGAACCTGGGAGGCAGAGGTTGCAGTGAGCCGAGATCACGCATTGCATTCCAGCCTGGGTAACAAAAGTGAAGCTTCATCTAAAAAAAAAAAAAAGGAAGAAGAAGAAGAAAAGAAGAAAACAAAATCCAATTCAAAGGGTGTTGTTTGGAGCCATGCATTAGAGCAGAGTTCACCCACCAGCCCAGGAGCCCCCTTCTGATCACTAAGGACTCTCCTGAGACAGCCAGCCTGTGCAAAGTCGTCTCCTTCACCTATGTGCTCCTATCACTTCACAAAAGGACCAGCAGCATTTTTCATGTATATGGGAGTTCCCTGTTCTCTCTTATTTCCCCTGACTGTAGATTTCAGAGCCAGCTTTCAGTCATTGCGCAGAGGGGAAGAAGGAGCCCAGAGATTCACAGTGGCTCCCCTATGGCTGTTTCCACTTAAGACACTTATCACAGCAGCTATTTAGGCAACATGACCCGCTCTGAAGTGTCCCCTCACTGATTCTGTGCACTCTCAGGGAGTGGGAAAAAGAGAGAGGGGAGACTGAAATAAGGATGCACTACTGGAGAATAGAAGGGGGCTGTGGAAAGAGAACCACAACTATGGCACACTCTCATGCAGCCATTTAGAGTTTGCAAAGTTGCTTCTGCTCAATTAGCTCAGTAATTAAGCAGATGCTTCCCCACTTTAAAGGGAAGAAAAATCAAAGCCCATAGAGTCTCTAGCCAGGCTCAGTGGCTCACACCTGTAATCTCAGCACTTTGAGGGGCTGAGGTGGGTAGATCACCTGAGGTCAGGAGTTTGAAACCAGCCTGGCCAACATGGTGAAACCCTGTCACTATTAAAAATACAAAAAAATTAGCCAGGAATGGTGGTGCACACCTGTAGTCCCAGGTACTCAGGAGGCTGAGGCAGGAGAATCACTTGAACCTGGGAGGCCGAGGTTGCAGTGAGCCAACATGTGCCACTGTACTCCATCCTGGGCAACAGAGCAAGATTCTGTCTCAAAAAAAAAAAAAAAAAAAAAAAAAGAGTCCTCTGTGACTGTCCTGTTGAGTCTCTCTTACATGCCAGGCATTGTTCTCTGCATTGACTGGGATGCAGCAGTGAGTGAAATGCACAAAATCTGTCTTCTAATGGAGCATATATTTGCGGGGAGCTCAGAAAACTGTTAAGGAAACCAGCCAGTGCTGCTCTTCCTATACTTTAGCCCGGTGTAATCTAAAGGGCGCAAGACTTGGAGCCTAAGCATCTAGCTCTGTGCCCCAGCACTGTTTTACCTCGGGTAAGTCATCTAAAACTCTTGAGCCCTCACCAGTAAAATGAGGATCGTAACAACTGCCTGCAGAATCACTGTACCCAGCAAGGATTCTGCAAGTGTCAAGGAAGAAGGAAGACCTTACAAACGTGAAGAAATAAACACGTGAAGGATTCTTTGGTTGAAATTGTTCTTACTCCTCAAATCCCTACAACAACAGAGCTGCTGACTTTGACTTTCTGAAGCTTCACGCAAGAGGGCAGGGTCAGGTGTAGACGATTTTACCGGGGAGATCTCAGAAATAAACATTCTCAGTGCTGCTCATCAAAGCTCAGCTTCTACCCTAATGGGTATCCTAGAGTTAATTCTCCAGGCAACAGTAGAGGGGTGGTACCTGAGAGTATAGCCGCAGGCGGTGCCACCCAGGTGGCTGAACTTTCTGAGCCAGGCTCAGCTGTAATTCTCTCCTGGCCTCTGGGAAGCTTGGTTAACCACTCCGCACCCTGTGTGGGAGTTACGGTGGTCAGCAAGTTCAGGAACAGTGGCACCAGGAGTCATGAAGAGATGCCTGTGGATAGCCAAGGCATTGCGCTGAGAAGCCCAGGAGGGTCTCAGATCAAAAGGCTGCCTGGACTTCCTGTCTCTCCTCCCCATCATCATTAGAGGGGTCCTCCCCATGCCATCTCTTTCATCAGCTTTCCAAATGCTGACCTCTCCCCATTCACCCCCAAACACCTTCTTCCTGCAAAGTCTGTGTGTGCCGCCTGCACCCGTCTTGTTTTCAGGCTGAGCTCAACCAAAACAATGCCTCCCAGGGTTGTGGATTTTGGCTGTTGAGCAGCCAGGAGAAGCAGACACTGTGAGTCACTGCTATTCAGCAGCTTGTATCTCTCTCTCCCAGCTCTGGAGTGTTGGGCAGACAGAACTCTGGGGAGAGTCCCCAACCCCTGCCACTGCCACTGTCACACCAGAGATGATCTGGCACAAATCACCCAGATAAGACAGGACTGAACCCCAGCAGATACCACCAGCCCCTCCCTGAATGCACTTGGTAAATGCCATGGGGATAAGTGCCTAACTCTCTGAGCATGGCAGAGGATGCAAATAATTATTTGCCATGCACCGCAGAGGGAGCGTGGCAAATAATGGCTACTCTGAGAACTCCAGGAAGAGTGTCCCTCTCATTCTCCTGGAGCCTGGGGAAGAATCAGGGCCAGCAGGATCCCAGAGGGAGAGCTCTGGGGAACCCATAGAGATCAAAGACAGCACACCTTCACGTCAGTGTGCCTGTCCAAAGCTGGCAGCTCCAAGGTGAAGCACCCGGCACGTGAACTTCTAAAGGGCTGGGCTCCCAAAGCACCCCTCCCCTCAAGACCCACACCATGCAGCCCAGCACATAAAACCCTGGGGCTGGAAGGCACTTTTACTACCTGACAAAGGATGTCTTTAATGTAATCTCCACACAGCTCATGTCTCTTCAGATCAAAGTATTCCATGTCCCAATACCGGGCAGCGATGCGGCAGTCCTTGTGCTGGTCACAGAAGCCGAAGGACTCATAGTCAGAGCAAAACTCAAGGTGCAGAAGGGGCCGGAAAGGGGGCCCATAATCCAGGCACTGGGGGTGTCCCTGCATCAGGCCCACCTGGCCCAACAAGGATGTGAGGCAGAGGTAGAAAATGCCAGAAGAGAGCCAGGGGGCCCAGCAACACAGACTGCCGCGCAGACTAGAGTGGACGTTCTCAGCATTCTGGCCTTGGGAGCACTCGGGCTGCTGTGTTTGCTCAGGTTGGCTTCCCCGCTCTGCTCAAGGTCCTCCCTCTCTTCCTACCCCAACTCCACCCGGTCTTCCCTTCCTTCCTCCTCTTCCCCTCCTCTCCTACTGAGGTGGTTTCTGAGCAGTGACCCTTCTGTGGGCTCCCTTTGAAAACAGTGAGAGGTGTCCCTTCCCCCTTCCTCAATCCATCTAAACAGGAAGCCCCACTCTAGGCTGCTAGTGTTATGGGGTCACACGTTTGCTCAGCCAAAAGTGCAATGGTGTCAACGGCAGAGGCGCTTCGATTCCTTAAAACTACAGAGAATTCCTGCTGTGTGTGGGGAGGTCCGGAAATTTACACTTTTTTACTGATTCTTCACAGGCTGAGGGCCCAGAGTCATCATGAGAACACCATATATTACATCATCCCAGACTTCACACTCCATGGAAGGAAAGCTTCAAGATTTCCTACAGTGCTGAAGGGCACCAAGGGGGTGGGGGACATGGAGGGACCATAGCAGGAGGCACGTGTGCTGCATAGCTCTCAGATCTGGCAAAGTATAGGAAGAGAGGGCATTTCATGAATCTTGCATCTGCAGTAAGGACCAAGGAGAGGAAAGAGGGAGGACACAGTGAAGGAAAAGAAGGAAGGGTCTTAGTCCTTACTTAGTCCATGCTGCTGTAACAAAACACCACAGAGTATAATTTACAAATAATAGAAAGGTATTGGTCACAGTCATGGAGGCTGAAAAGTCCAGGATCAATATGGCAGTAGGGACTGGGTGTGGTGGCTCATGCCTGTAATCCCAGCACTTTGGGAGCCTGAGGCAGGAGGGTCACTTGAGCCCAGATTGGAAACATTGTGAGACCCCATCTCTACAAATATAAAAAGAAAATTGGCCGGGCATGGTGGCTCAAGCCTGTAATCCCAGCACTTTGGGAGGCCGAGGCGGGTGGATCACGAGGTCAAGAGATCGAGACCATCCTGGTCAACAAGGTGAAACCTCGTCTCTACTAAAAATACAAAAAATTAGCTGGGCATGGTGGCGCGTGCCTGTAATCCCAGCTACTCAGGAGGCTGAGGCAGGAGAATTGCCTGAACCCAGGAGGCGGAGGTTGCGGTGATTCAAGATTGCGCCTGTGTAACAAGAGCGAAACTTTGTCTCAAAAAAAAGAAAGAAAAAAGAAAATTAACCAGGCATGACGGTGCACACCTATAGTTCCAGCTACTTGGGAAGCTGAGTCAGGAGGATTGCTTGAGCCCAGGAGTTTGAGGCTGCGGTCAGCTATGATCATGCCACTGCACTCAGGCCTGGGCAACAGAGCAAGACCATCTCTAAAAATAAAAAATAAGAGATGCCAACAGGTTCACTGTCTGGTGAGGGCTCTGTTCCTCATTGATGGTGACTTGTTGCAACATCCTCCCACAGTGGAAGGAACAGAAGAGTTCAAATCCACTCCTTCAAGACCTTTTATTAGGACCCGAATCCTACCCAAGAGTCCTCTACCCTCAAGACCTAATCATCTAGTAAAGGTCCCACTTCTTAATACTATCACATTTCAATATGTGAATACGATTACATTTCAATACATGAATCTGAGGTAGGGAGGGACACATTCAGACCATAGGTGAGGGAGGGTGGTCCAGTGAAAACAAGGAGTCAACAAGGAATGTTTGGGACAATGTCCCCAGGAAGCACAGGACGACTGGGTGCCTTTCTTTGCCAAATCTATACCTGCTGTAGGGACCCTCCTCCTCACTCAGTGTGTGTTCCACATTACTATTTAAAAATGTGTTTTGGCCGGGCGCGGTGGCTCAAGCCTGTAATCCCAGCACTTTGGGAGGCCGAGGCAGGTGGATCACGAGGTCAGCAGATTGAGACCATCCTGGTCAACATGGTGAAACCCCGTCTCTACTAAAAATTACAAAAAATTAGCTGGGCACAGTGGCACATGCCTGTAATCCCAGCTACTCAGGAGGCTGAGGCAGGAGAATTGCCTGAACCCGGGGGCAGAGGTTGCGGTGAGCCGAGATTGCGCCATTGCACTCCAGCCTGGGTAACAAGAGCGAAACTGCGTCTCAAAAAAACAAAACAAAAAAAAAACAAAAATGTGTTTTGTGGCTGGGTGTGGTGGCTCACACCTGTAATCCCAGCACTTTTGGAGGCTTAGGCAGGCACACCACAAGGTCAGGAGTTCAAGACCAGCGTGACCAGCATGGTGAAACCCCATTTCTACTAAAAATACAAAAAAATTAGCTAGGTCTGGTGGCACATGCCTGTAGTCCTAGCTGCTCCAGAGGCTGAGGCAGAAAAATTGCTTGAATCCAGCAGGTGGAGACTGCAGTGAGCCAAGAGCGCACCACTGCACTCCAGCCTGAGTGACAGAGAGAGACTGTCTCAACAAAATAAAATAAAATAAAAAAGGCATAGTGGGGGGCGTCTGTAATCCCAGACACTTGGGAGGCTGAGGCAGAATTGTTTGAACCCAGAAAGCAGAGGTTACAGTGAGCCGAGACTGTGCCATTGCACTCCAGCCTGGGCAACAAGAGCAAAACTCCATATCAAATAATTATAATAATAAAATAAACAATAAAATAAAAATGTGTTTTGCTTTGTACACATCCCTTGCACATGAAGCTTTGATAAATATTTACTGAATGAATGAATGAATGAATGAATGCAGAACATGGAGTCCCAAACTCACACAGCCCCAAACCCAAACAGACATGAGCTGGGCATAGGTCCACGGGGACATTTGGCACTTGAGCTAACTCTCCTTTTAGCATTTTCCATGGTTCTGGTCCACATTGAATTTCCCTACTGGCAAAAGCTTCCATTTGAAATGCAGATGAAGTCCGAATTTCTTCTTATTCCAGATGTGCTTTATAGAGGGCACCCAACCTGGCTGCCCAGCTCATCACCAGGAACAGGGTTTGCCGGGATATCATCAAGAAGGGCCAGTGAACCTCAGTCTACCTAAGCCTATATTCACAATGTTCTGGATTATGAAAGCCCCAAATAGCATTTAAAATACAAAAAAATTGGCCAGGTGTGCTGGTTAATGCCTGTAATCCCAGGACTTGGGAGACCAAGATGGGAGGATCACTTGAGCCCAAAAGTTTGAGACCAGACTGGGCAATGCAGTGAGACCCTGTTGCTATAAAAGTTTTAAAAATTAGCTGGGCACGGTGGCATGTACCCATAGTCCTAGTTACTTGGAAGCCTAAGGTGGGAGAATTGCTTGAGCCCAGGAGTTCGAGGCTGTGGTGAGCTGTGATCACACCACTGCACTCCAGCCTAGGTAACAGAGTGAGACCCTGTAGATAGGTAGGTAGGTAGATAGAAGGATAGATAGGTAGGTAGGTAGTAGATAGATAGATAGATAGATAGGAGGGAGTAGTCAGAATAATTTTCAGCTCAGTCTTGCTTTCTTATTTGTACTGTTCAATATTACACCTAGGTAGCCAGAAGCAGTGGCTCACACCTGTAATCTCTTTGGGAGGCCAAGGTGGGTGGATCACTTGAGGCTAGGAGTTCAGAACCAGCCTGGCCAACATAGGGAACTCTATCTCTACTAAAAATACACACAAACCAAAAAAATTAGCTGAGTGTGGTGGCACACACCTGTAATCCCAACTACTCAGGAGGCCAAGGCAGGAGAATCACTTGAACTCAGGAGGTGGAGGCTGCAGTGAGCTGAGATCACACCATTGCATTCCAGCCTGGGTGACAGAGTGAAACTCAGTCTCAAAAAAAAAGCATACCTAGTTGAGTGGTGTTTTTTAAAACATGGATCACACCTATAATCCCAACACTTTGGGAAGTCGAGGTGGGTGGATGGCTTGAGCCCAGAAGTTTCAAACCAGCCTGGGCAACATAGTGAGACTCTGTCTCTACAAAAAGTAAAAATAAAAAATTAGCCAGATGTGATGGTGCATGGCTGTGGTGCCAGCTACTTGGGAGGCTGATGTAGGAGAACTGCTTGAGCCCAGAAGGTCAAGGCTGCAGTGAGTCATTATTGCACCACTGGACTCCAGCCTGGGTGACAGAGTGAGACCCTGTCTCAAAATAAATAAAAAATAAAATAAAATAAATGTCCATGATTCACTGGTAACTGTTGCTATTTCTTCTGGGTTGTTTGCTCAGATGTCACAGAATGTCATGGTTCTGGAAGCCTTGAGCAGGAGGAGTAACATTGGACTAACTTCCGCCAGTGAACTCACCCCTATTGCCTTCTCAGAATCATCTAACCCTGGGATATGTAAGAATGAGTGCATTCTCTCATTCATATGGGACCTGGGAGTATTTTCTAATCTCATGAAATTCATGTCTCCGTTTCCCCTTTGCCATGAAAAATATGGAAATCTTAATGTTTTGAGCAGAGTCACTGCAAGATTAGCAGGGAAAGATCGGCAGGCAGAATCTGATCAGACATAGTGACAGCATGAGTTTCTGATTATCAAAATATGTAACATTTCAGATGATGCTACATTTTAGATATAATTGTATAATATGTATAATTATGTAATAATCATGCAATAATTTTACAAAAGATTTTGTGGTGTTAATTCAGTAAATACATATTATTTTGTCTGAAGAATGCTGGAAGAGAAGTGTTTAACAGAAAACTAACATATAAAATATTTTCAAGAAGTTTGTGCTCTGAGAAAAAAGGATTAAGTATCCAAATAACACAAGGCAGACATAAGATTAAGATAACAGCCAGGAGCAAACGCTATGAGGGATCACAAGGAGGGAGAGATGACATTGGACTGCATAGGGATTAAGAATATTGTAATCAAAGTTGAGTGGGGCTTTTAGATAAGGAATGGATGCAAAAGAACAGAAAACACATTTTCACTGAGTGTTAGGAGAGCTTATGAAATAACTCTGGAACTATAAGCTAGGACAAGACAGAGTATCTGAAATCACTCAGCTTCCACTTTTGAAGCAAACATAATCCTTTAAAAAAATTATTTAGTTTGCTAGGGCTGCTGTAACACAGCCACAGACTTGGCGGCTTAAACAGAAATGTATTCCTTCCCAGCTCTGGAGCCCAGACGTCTGAGGTTGAGATGCTGGCAGAGTTGGTCCCTCCTGAAGGCCGTGAGCGACACTGCTCCATGCCTGATCTCTAGCTTCGTGGGGTCTGCCAGCAATCTTGCATTCCTGGACTGTGGATGCATCACCCCGAGCTCTGTCTTCATGTTCACATGGTGCTCCTTCTCCCTGTGTGCGTTCATGTCCAAATTTCCCCTTTTCATCAGGACACCAGACATACTGGATTAGTGCCTACCATAATGACTTCATTTTAACCTAATTCTCTCTGTAAAAACTATCTCCGAATAAGGTCACATTCTGGGGTATTGTGGGTTAAGACTTCAACAATTCTTTTTTAGGAGAATTCAGCCCATAGCAGTAGCACACATTCACACACACACACACACACACACACACACACACAGTTTCATATAGCATGCACATTTTAACTTTTTTTCCCCCAAGACAGGGTCTCACGGTTACCTAGGCTGGAGTGCAGTGATGCCAGTAGCTGGAACTGCAGGTGTGTGCCACCATGCCCAGCTAATTTTTGCTTTTTTTTTTTTTTTTTTGTAGAGACAGGGGTTATACCATATTGCCCAGGCTGGTCTTGAACTCCTGCGCTCAAGTGATCCACCTGCCTCAGCCTCCCAAAATGCTGGAATTACAGGCGTGAGCCACCACGCCCGATGCAAGTGCCTTTTAAAAAGTGATACTGAGAGTCAGGTGTTTATCCTAAATCACGTCATGGAATAGAACAGAGAAAGTGTAAATAAAAATGTTCTAGCTCTGTAGCTTCTCGTATAGCTTACTCACGTAACTATCTATGTGCCTCCAGCCATCTCCCTCTCTCAGTCTAAAGATGTACCTGAGATTAAAGAAGGTACAACTCATCTGCATGAAGCACTACAGTTTACAAAGTATTTTCTCACACTTCATTTCATTTGATCTTCAATTCTCTCAAGACAATTACGTAAGCAAGGTCGATATCATATTACCAGTGAGCATGAGTGAATTAAGTCCAGGAGGGGTTCAGTGAAATATTTTATGGCCCCAGTTTAGATGAATAGAAATGGCAACACAATTCAGGTATTCTGAATTACAGACCAGATCTTTTTTCATTCCATCATGATGTACCCAAAAAGAATGAAAGTAATCACTTTTACTTGTTCTTCATTTAGAAAAATTTGTGTTGGATGCACCCTACTGAAGTGTATTGACTGAACACTCAGCTCCATTGGTAGGATTATCTGGGAGTCCTTGGTGTAGGCATGATAGCAGTTGTCATTAAACAACTGGCAGTGGTGTTCACAGTGGGACTGATGGGCAGAAACAGAGTTGCCTCTACTCACAGAGCTAACGGCTACCTTCATAACTATTAAAACAACATACACATCTGCTGTGTATTTTTTGTGGGACTGGGTAGACTCTTATTTGTTGGCAGATTAGGTTAGAAGCATGAATCTTGGATCGACTTATTCAGTTGTTAGTCATATTATTTGTAGACCATCCAAGGGTCTTGCTTGTTTCCTTTTGGAATATTTAAAATACAGAGATTCTAATTAAATCCAGCAGGAAAAGCCCTTGTGCTGTAAATATGGGTAAATAACTGGGTCCAAAAGGGCACACCTGTTTTTTTCTTAATTTTTGTTGCTTTTCCTTTTTCAAAAATGTTAATATAAGAGTGTTTCTATTTATTGAGAAAAAGCATTTACCAGGACCCATGCTCAGCATTTTACATCAACCTTTCCAGACCATCCCATTTTACAGAATAAAGGTGAGGCCCAGCTAGGTGGGGGGCTTCAGCCACACTGGAATTTGAACCCAGGCTTTTCAGACTCCACAGAACATGCTTTTCTTTCTTTTTATGAGGGGAGGTGGGATGGGAATGGGGTGTAACAGCTTTACAGATGTAATTCACATTCCATATAATTGATCAGCTAAGGGGCTAATACAAAATACACAAAGAACTCATACAACTCAACACCAAAAATATAATTCCATTTTAAAAATGGCCAAAGCAACTAAATAGACACTTCTCAAAAGAAATTTGAATAGCTAACAGGTATATGAATAAGTGCTCAACAGCTCGAATCACCAGGGAAACGCTAATCAAACCAGGAGATACAGCCTCACACCTGGTAGGATGAATAGTACCAGAGGTCAAAGATAAGTATTGTGAGGATGAAGAGAAAGCACTTGTACGCTGCTGGTGGGGATGTAAATATAGAAAACAATATGGAGGTTCCCGCCAAAAAATTGAAAACAGAAATATCTGGATATACACCCAAAGGAACTGAAATCAAGATTATAAAGAGATATCAGCACACCTATGTTCATTGCAGCATCACTCGTAACAACTGAAACAACCTAAATGGCCTTTGACAGATGAAGAAATATGTGGCATATAAAAAAATACGATTAAATATTACTTAGCCTTAAAGAAGAAATCCTGTCATTCTCAACATGGAGGACATTATGCTAAGCAAAATTAAAGTAAGTAAGACACAGAAAGAGAAATATTGCATGATCTCACTTGTATGTAAAATTTAAGAGCCAAATTCACAGAAGCAGAGGGTAAGATGTTGCCGGGGGCTGAGGGAAAGGGGAAATAGACTGATATTGGTCGAATGATACAAAGTTTCAGTTATACGAGATAAATGATTTCTGGAGATCCAATGTCCAGCATGGTGATGACAGTTCAGTATTATATTACATACGTGTCATTTGTTAAAGACAGATCTTAAATCTTTTCATCACACATACATACACAACACACACACAATGGTAATTATGTAGAGGTAATGAAGATATTAAGTACCTTGATTGTAGCGATCATTTCACAATGTATATCAAATATCAAGTTGTACATTTTAAATATATACAGAGGTTTCAATGAGAAAACAAGACTTTAAATTATCTTTAGTTATTGCTACTGTCTTAAAGTAGTCATGAGGAATGGCTGTAAGTGGTAACCACATAAGCAAGCAGTCCCGTGAGACTGTTCCAGCACAGTATTTCAGCTCACTGCTTCTATACAGGTGGCGGAGTTCCCTACAGTGCAAAATCGCATCAAGCTTGCTCAAAAGCTGCATTCAAACAGAATCTCATCAAGGTTTGGGGGTTAAGAGTACATCTGTGGTTATGGATTACAGAAGCATAATCACTAATCCCATCAGATATTATCTTGTGTGTAGGAAAAGGCAAGGACTGGGGTCATTTAACTTTTAAGGAATGTGGTGACTCAGGCAAGAGGCATGGGGGTGCCCTGTGCTCTAGGCTGTTTTGTTTTTAAGGCATCTTTCCAGAGAGTTGCATGTCATCACAGGGTCAGGGGCTTTGTGAAACGATGCTGGCAAGCAGAAATGAGCAGACCTGGCTACTGCTGTTTTGCCTCACTCTACTTCGCTCAGTGCTCTGCACGTAGTCAACACCGACTGCACTGGGAGGTCATACAGCTACTACGTGAGAGTGTGATCTTTGGAACCACACTGATTGGGTTAGGATCCTGGTGCCAACACCTACAAACTGTGACCTTGGCAAGTTACTTCATCTTCAGACTTCATTTTCTTTATTGGTAAAATAGGAATAATTCATAGAATTGTAGTGGTTATATGATCCAAGGTAAAACCCAAAGTGCTTGATAAATTTTAGCTATTACCATTATTCATAGAAGCAGCTTAAACATCAATGGACCTAAAAAAAGTTTCACAGGTGAACTGCACTACTCTTACTGAACAATTAGATAAGAACATCTAACTGTTCTTACCTAATTGTTCTGATGTACACTTTTTTTTTTTTTGAGATGGGAGTTTTGCTCTTGTTACCCAGGCTGCAGTGCAATGGCGCGATCTCGGCTCACCGCAACCTCCGCCCCCTGGGTTCAGGCAATTCTGCCCCAGCCTCCTGAGTAGCTGGGATTACAGGCATGCGCCACCATGCCCAGCTAATTTTTTGTATTTTTAGTAGAGACGGGGTTTCACCATGTTGACCAGGATGGTCTCGATCTCGACCTTGTGATCCACCTGCCTCGGCCTCCCAAAGTGCTGGGATTACAGGGGTGAGCCACTGTGCCTGGCCTGATGTAAACATTTTAAGAGACAGTTTTGTATGAAAACCAATAATCATATCTACTCATTTCTTTTATCCTCACCTCCATTTTCTTAGAGATCAAGATAAATCATAATCCTATTTTATAGCTTTTGGCTAAAAAAGAGAAAAAGGAGAGGGGACACGTGAGTTCTAAGCATGTCTTAGACTGCTGCGCCAGGCACCAAAAAAGCCAAGAGCCCTTTAAAGTTAGGCCAGTGCCAGCTGAAAAAAGCCAGACTTCTACACTGCTGTGACCCAAACTAGTCCTCTAGAGTCAAAGGTCTCTCTCTAGCAGGAGGATATTTTGCCCCAAACTGTCAAGTCTTTATACTGAAAGAGAAAAAGTATTTTTCTAAATCCTTCTCTCTTTTCAAAATTCCTCAACAGAACTCATCACCAATATAGTTCTTCATGGTGGTATACCTAAAATGGATTAATTAGAATAAAAAGAATGCCAATTTATTTTACAGTACCACAAGTTGTATTTTATTACACAATAGCCAGAGGAAAATTATTTGCAAACAATAACTGCTGTAGAGCTATATTCTCTAAATATTTTTGAATTTCAAGAATTATTCCTTAACAAATGTAACATTTAATATTACAAAAAAGAAAACAGACATATTTACAAAGAGCAAAGGCAGTAATATTGTTTCTCTAGCTATAAATAAATTAAAATATATAAAAATAAGTTTTTTAGACTCATATAAGCTTCTTAATACACTACATAAATACATTCAGTAACTACTGAGCTGCTTACTGTGTAGCTACTACTGTGAAAAAACTAAAATCCAGCATCAGAGTCTTGGATTTACAATACTGTATTTCTTCACTGATCTCTTCATCCGCTTAATTTTCTTCCCTAAGATTTGGTGATCTTGCTTTAAAATATACCGAAAATATCTACAACCTAAAAAGTAAAGCAAAGTAAAATGTTTTAATACTCATCATTTTTTCTTAAGTATATTTCTACAGTTTTAAAATTTTGCTTTAACTTTGGCACATTAATGATTATGAAAATAAATTTGTAGTATCTACACCAATATGGCCTAAGCATATTCTCAGTTGTGTCCAATGACATATAGGTCCTCCTATATACAAAGATGTTTCTAATCTATCATAATTAAAGCACAGACTTTAATTTGTTATCTGCCTTCCTCCTACACCCTAGTGATGGTGACAGGCATATTATATACAGTCACGTATTAAATGAGCCTTCTCTAGAGGTGCATTTGTATAGATTCCTTCTCAATGTTCGCTTATAAATCAGCCAAAGTTACATTTATAACAGTAAGAAAGTTCTCTGTAGAAAATCTTGGTGTGAAGGATTAGAATAAACAAATCATAGGTTAGAAATGGTCAGACATTATCTACTCATTCTAGCCATGTAGCAAGCAGCAAAGTAGAGACTATGTATCTCTGACAGAGGTGCCTCATGCTCATTAGAAGTTCCACCTGCTCTTCACAGTCTTACAACACAAAAAACGGTCAAGTATTTGTCAAATACTTCAGACAAATGAATCATATTTCTGTAAGAAAAAGTAAACTGGATAATGAGTTCTTTTTTAGAGTTGGTCGATGGACAAGACCATAAATCACATGTGAAAAATTAATTTCACTACAGTTTCAGCTTGTATGCAATATCTTCTCGAGAAAATGCAAGAACATATACTGTACCTATAGTAACCATTTTTATCATTCTGGAAACTAGTATGCCAGAATTGCTAATATTTTGTTTTGTTGTTTTTCTTGAGATGGGGTCTCACTATGTGGCACACTCTGGTCTCAAAACTCCTGGCCTCAAGCAATCCTCCCACCTCAGTTTCCCAAGCAGCTAGGATTACAGGAGCACTGCATGCCACTGCACCCAGCTCAGAATTGGTAATGTTTTACTAGCTGAGAAGCAGTGGTGTCTGTAGTATTACTAAAATAATTTGTGTTTCTAAACATATCATACTCACCTTAGTAAAAAACAAAATACTTTGCACACAGAATTTTGCCTCTATCTACACAGAAAGCTGGGAATAACTTGGTTCCCACCCCAACAGAGAAAAAGCTTAATAAACCTCAAATATTAACTCTCGAGTCCACCGGAGAGCTGGAATCTCGCAGGGCAACCAAGTAGTTTCAATCCCAACAAGAAAAGGCCCCTCCAAGGAGAAATGAGTCTAGCTTGCTTTTAGCAGGGCATAGGAAGAAAGAGAGCCACCATACCCCACTCTAAGCACGAAGCAAAGGCAGACCACGACTAGAATTTGAATCCTATAAAGTAAGGTTGGTAACCACAGCAAGAAGAAAACCCAGCTTAACTAATAAATAGACTGACTCAACCCCATACTAACAGCTTGAGAGGAGATGTGGCTCTTGCCGGAGTAACTGATACCTGATATTTGTAAAGTACTTTAGAAATTATGAAGCATTTTGATGCGATGTTCACATGATACTTACAACAATAAGATGGGTATTACAATGCCCACTTCACAGAAAAAGCTCCTAAAAGCTAATTGCTTGACTAAGTTACATAGCAAGTGAGAGAACTGCAAAATTAACCCAGATCTTCCTACTCTGCTCAGAGACTTCTAGATAATTGTGCTAGATTGCCTCTCTACTCATAAGTAGAGAAAATGACAATCCAAATCACCTTTCTGTTCCTTGTCATCAGTGTATTAGAGAATTTTTTTCTTTTTTTTTTTAGAGATGTGGTCTCGCTATGCTGCCGAGGCTGGAGTGCAGTGGCTATTCATAGGCGCAATCCCACTACTGATCAGCACAGGAGTTCTGACCTGCTCCGTTTCCGACCTGGACTGGTTCACCCCTCTTTAGGCAACCTGGTGGTCCCCTGCTCCTGAGAGGTCACCAAATTGATGCCGAACTTATGCGGACATGCGATCAACATAGCACACTACAGCCCAGAACTCCTGGACTCAAGCGATCCTCCCAACTCAGCAGCCCGAATACAGGTACGCGCCACTGCGCCTGGCTTATTTTCTTCTTAATCAAATTTTATTACATTCACTGAGACTACTAATTCCAAAATAATAGAAACCATATTCAAAAGTGAGTTGGAGAATCTCTTCAGCAACCTTAAACTCCACAGCAATGGACTGCTTGCTAGTGGTCACTGAAGATTTACTTTCTTCATTTCTGCACACACTTTGTGGCAGTTTCATTTCAGTACTGGCCACCTTTTCATATTTCAGTGATACGAAGCAGGTAAGAGTTTTACCACCCAAAATATTCCTTTTCTTTGAAGAAAAAATCAATATCCCTTTTCTTTGAAGAGGATTTTTTTCATATGCTAGTAGGAGGTATTATATTCTCTTAAGTGGAGGAAATGTTTCACGCTTTCAGGAACAGGTAAGTAAATATTAGTATAATATGGAGCTATTAAAGAACAATGAGGTCAATAAATAATATTTTCACACATTTAATAAAGTAAAAAATCTCAGTAAACTTTCTATAAAACCAAGGCTAAATGGTCAATTATTGTGAAAAGTCTGTATCACATATCTTAATGCCCCCTAGCAACACTCAAGTCAGAAGGTGAAAACCAATCACAATCAGTAATATGAAATCACTAAATTGGATTCATTCTTTCATCAAGCAGTTATTTCTTAAGTGCCTAGTATTTTTAGGTACCATACTAGGTAAGCTCTAAATGAAGGCCATACTTCGTAATTTCAAATTTAGCCAAAAAACTGTGTCTAGATAAAAAGAAAACAAAAACATGTACCTTTTCCTAACAGTAATCCAGCCACAAAGGCTTTCTCACAGGCCAAAGCTGTGTCTTCCTTCCAATCGCTTTTTGCCCAAAAGTAGCTGAAATGAAAGCTTGGCCACCAGTTTTTCCTGGATTTCCACTCTTCTTGAACCCACACAAGGTGGTTTCTGGAAAAGAAAAATGTGAAAAGAGAAGGTCAATGATGGGAACAAATCTATATTATCAGAATTTAGATTCAATTAGAGTCTATGGAAAGATGACAGGGAAGATGTTTCCAAACTGAATTCTGAATATGGCAAACACATAACATGACTGGCAACAGCAGGAAAGCAAATCCTTTTTTCTTTTGTTCCATCTCCATATCCCACTCTCCAATTCACTAAACAGACACTTTATTTAGCACAGTAGTTACAGAACAGACTCAAAGCCAGAATCCTGGATTCAAATATCAGCTCTTCCATTTATTATCTATGTGATCCTGGGGCAAGCTGTTGAACCTCTCTGAGCTTCAGTGTCCTTGAGGACATTAGTGGTACCGATCTCACAGGACTATTATTAAGATTAAACTATTCCAGTAGTAGGGTATGGCAGGTCTCATATAATGCTCTTTGCATAGTGTCCGGTACATAGTAAATATTCAATCAATTTATCTACTACTATTACTTAAGTAAAACCTTACTTAAAATTATATGCTGCCATGAATTATTATCCAAATCAAGATACCATTACTATACAAATACATGAACACATAGGTTTAACTGTTAAATGCAGGCAATGCTATGGGTCCGTGAATAATTCTTTCACTGCATATATTCAAGGTATAGTATACAACATGTTTTATATACATATAGTTAACTGTTGTGTGTGGTAGTAGTTAACTGTTGTGTGTGGTAGGAGCACCTGAACTCTACTCTTAGTAAACTTCCTATATGCTATACAGTATTATTAACTACAGTCTGTGAGGTACATTAGATCTCTGTAATTTAATTGAACAAGTACTTACTTAGCACCCATGTGCCCGCTATGGTAGAACATCTAGAAGTTCAAAAAGATGAACCTCTTTGCTTTTAAGGACCTTATAATCTAGTAGGAGTTTATTCAGTGCTTGAGATTTAGAAAGGGGTTTACAGGGAGTGCATCCACATATGACACCAAAGCCATTTTATAAACAGCACTGTTCCATCATGACCAGTCAGCTCTGAAGCCTGAAACAAGTTCCAATGGATAATGAATTGCCTAACACCTAAAATGGATATAATAAATATATGAAACCATTTTGTGATATCCCTTCTTATCACACACTAAGTAAAAATAACAAGAAACTCATTTTCTTTTACTCAAAATGTGATGCAAATAAGATTATGATCAGAGGTACATATTTAGATAACCAAGTCACAATGGATTTAATGAGTATTTGTTGAATAAATAGGGTATGATGATCTCGTGAGGTCCTAAGAACAGCCAATGAAAATGATCAAACATATATAGGAGGAAAGCTGCTTCTCACAGTCTTCCAAGTTAATGATGCACAAATCACAGAGTCTTTAGCAGAGAGTGATCCCTGCTAGTCTTTATTTCCAATGGGAAAACACATATGTATTCCTTAGCAAACAGTAGTGCTAAGTATAATATTTATTTTGATAGCATAAAAAAATTGATAGAATTTTTGCATGTTTTCCTTATGACTCTGTATTTCTTTGCTTCAGAAGAAAATGTGTGCAGAAAACAGCTGGACATAGTTCAAGAAATTCAAAAACATAAGCAAGGTTGTTTAAAAATTGATAGATATTAGCTAAAATATTGGGAAAATTATTTATGATGATCTAGTAATAAATACTTCATGTTTCTTACCCCATTAAGGTCTTCTTCACATATTTTGCCAAGTATTTCCAAGCAGTTATATTCTTAGTACATCCGGCAAAATCTAAGACTCCAAATAATACCTCCAACCCCAGTTTATGGTGTTCTTCCTTTTCTGTAACGGTTGTAACAGTTCAAGTTTACACAAGGTAGTAAAGTGTACCAAGCTAAAATATACATGTATGTATTTTATTAATTGTATATGTACTTTACATATATATAGTTGATAAAATACTGAATCATAAGCCTTCCAACAGTTTTAAAAATTCATTATGCTCTTACTCCTGTGATGAATCTAAAAAACTCAGTAATTTTATCCATGTTAATGAGGTCATGGTGATGAGTCTGATCCCAATATGAGTTACACTCTTCTACTGAGAACATTTAAAGTACTTGCCCTGTGTGGGCATTTTATACATGTTCTCTTACATTCAGAGAAGAACCCAGGCGGTCCTAGAACCAGTTTGGGCTTAGCCAGTTGATTTCCTTCTATGAAGGAGTATACTCTTTTCTACGGTGTGCTGAAATCTAGTAGGGATTAAAATGGAGTCAATTCTATAAATTGAAGCCATATCTCTTTTGCAAAGTGCTGCCTTCATTGTATAATAGGAGTATGCAAACCTTTTCTACAAAGGGACAGACAGTAAATATTTTAAGCTTTGCAAGACATACATTCTCTATCATAACTACACAGCTCTGTCACAACAGTGCCAAAGCAGCCACAGACAATACATAAACAAATGGATTCCAACAGAACTTGATTTATAAAATCAGGCAAGGGGTGGATTTGACCAATGGGCCATAGTTTGCTGGTCCCTGGTCTATAGCTTGTCTACACAAGGTATAAAACAAATTTTACTTATTACCTGATTTTCTAAGTAATGTATGGAATTCTAACATCAATTTATGAGATGGCACAATCTGATACAAAATCTGAAAGAAAGAACAGTCTTGTAATTTTTACACACTTGTAAAAGCATTTCTTAAATTTCAGCTACTTTAAAAATAAAGTTTTTACTGTCTAATACACTCTAAGTTTATTAAGTATCTTTAAAATACCTTGCTTTTTATTCTAGTTTCAATCTAAGTATAGAAAAGCATTTTCCGTAAAACTGTTTTTTTTTAAGTTTCTGCTAACAAGATAGGAGACCTGAGGGAAATAGACAGGGACTATTTGCCCCATATACACAACTATACTGTTTACCATGCTTAGGAACTTAAAATAATTTCTTTCAGAAGCCAGAACTGAAGAAAAATGTAAAGAAAAAAGTCAATTATCACACAGAAAATATACTTATTTACTGAACAGAAAAATCACAGGACATTTATATAAAGTAAAAAAACTAAAAAGGCTGGAAGGTAATTTCACAGATTGTGCTCAGGAACACAGTTTACGAAGGGTATGTGAGCAAATATTTTAACAAACTTTTACACAATAAAAAATTTTATGGTTTTTCCTTTTAAAAATAGGAAGGGCTATTTTTATGAATATTCAAAAACAGAATTTAAAGTAAAACTGTATTCTTCATTTTAACATTTAATATTAGAAATGAATTCATTCTGTCTGCTTACTGAAGTACTTTGACCTTACACTGAAATAATTTCCAACAAAATTAAAAGTAAATTTTGTTAATTTCTCTTAATCATTTTTTTTAGTTTTTTTTTTTTTTTTTTTTTTTTGAGATGAAGTTTCGCTCTTGTTGCCCAGGCTGGAGTGCAATGGCGCGATCTCGGCTCACCACAACCTCTACCTCCTGAGTTCAGGCAATTCTCCTGCCTCAGCCTCCCGAGTAGCTGGGATTACAGGCACGTGCCACCATGCCCAGCTAATTTTTTGTATTTTTAGTAGAGACGGGGTTTCACCATGTTGACCAGGATGGTCTCAACCTCTTGACCTCATGATCCACCCGCCTCGGCCTCCCAAATTGCTGGGATTACAGGCTTGAGCCACTGCGCCCGGCCTAATCATTTTTAAGATCAATTAAGATCAATACACCAATATCAGAAAGATTACTGCAACTGGGTTCCTAAAAAAGTCACACGTCTCATGATTTTATAGAATTCTGCATATGACTCAATTCACTTAGTTTTTTTATTGAAATATAACATGGCATAGAAATACATACAAATCATGACATCGAATCAGTTAAGTTAAACACTTAGGTAACCAGCACCAAGATCAAATAATGGCACATCACCAGAACATTAGAAATCCTCCATTAGTTTTGAAAAATTCTTAGCCATCAGCTCTTCAAACTATTAGGGTTTTAAAAAAAATGTGTTTGCTTCTGTTCTATTCAGAGGTCCTCCATCTAGGACTCCAATGACAAGTATGTCAGATCTTTTCAGCAATTTACTTGTATGCTTGTTTCTACACCTTTCATCCTTTTTGTTCTCCATGGTTTAGCCTGATATTTTCTATGCAGTTCATTAATCGTCTATTTTGCTATGTTCAATCTGCTATTAACCCCATGTACTGAGATGTTAATTCCAAATACTATATTTTTTAAATGGAAAAACAGAAGTTCTCTAAATCCATCTTGTCTTGAATGAGATAAGTATTCGACATAGTTATTTTCTGTAGCATTTAAAAAAATATTTTCGAAAACACCATTAGTGGTTGATAACCTGAGTGAAAGCACAGTCTTGCTTTTGTTGTAACAATCCTTAATATTTTGTAACATAAATGAGTCAAAGTTGTTATCTTAAGAGAGTAAAATAAAAATAGCAACTTTAAAAGTATTATTTAGTCCAGCCTGGGCAACATAGCAAAACCCCATCTCTCCAAAAAATACAAAAGATTAGCCGGGCGTGGTGGTGTGTGCCTGTAGTCCTAGCTACTCAGGAGGCTGAGGTGGCAGGATCATCTGAGCCGGGGTTTGGGGGCTGCAATGAGCTGTGATCGTGCCACTGCACTCCAGCCTGGGCAACAGAGTGGGACCCTGTTTCAAACAATAACAAAGGATTGTTTAGTAAAACAAAGCCTGTTGAAAAATTCATAAAACACAGTTTCCACATCTGAAGGTTTGATAATGCCAATTTTGATCATGAAAGTATAGATTAAAGATAATCAGACTTTTAAAATAAAACAGAATTAACAACTTTTCTCTGTCATTTCTTTAGGTTGAAAAAGATCTTTGTCTTACACCTCTAAAATACCATGATTAAAAACTGAACACAAAATATACAAAGAACTCCTATAACTTAACAACAAAAAACAAAAACCAAACAACCCAATTCAAAAAGAGGCAAAGGACTTTAACAGCCATTTGCCAAAGAAGATATACAAATGGCCAATAAGCACATGAAGGCACATCACTAGACATTAAGGAAATGCAAACCGAAACCACAATGAAACAGAGATACCACTTCACACCCACTAGGATTGCGGTCCCCAACCTTTTTGGCACCAGGGACTCGTTTCATAGAAGACAATTTTTCCATGGATCTGAGGATGGAGGATGGCTTCGGGATTACATTATTTATGCACTTTACATTTATTGTGCATTTCATATTATTACATCATAATACATAATTAAATAATTATACAACTCACCATAATTAGTGAGAGCCCTGTTTTCCTTCATCTGGGGGTAACAGGAGACAGTGATAGATCTTCAGGCATTAAATTCTCATAAAGAGCACAACCTAGATCCCTCACATGTGCAGTTCACAATATGGTTCCCGCTCCTATGAGAATCTAATGCCACCGCTGATCTGACAGGAGGCAGAGCTCAGGGGTAATGCTCACTTGCCTGCCGCTCACCTTCTGCTGTGTGACCTGGTTCCTAACAGGCCACAAACCAATACTGATCCATGACCCAGGGTTTTGGGACCCCCTGCACTAGGATACCAATGATCTAAAAAAGGTGATGGAGAATAGAAGGATGTCAAACTGCTGATGGGAATGTAAAATAGTGTAGCTGCTGTGGAAAACAGTTTGACAGTTCCTCAAAAAGTTAAAGAATTACCATATAATGCAGCAATTTCACTCCTAGGCATACAAACAAAAGAAGTGAAAGTACGGACTCAAAGTACACTAATCTTTAGAGCAGCATTATTTATAATAGCCAAACAACAGACATAACTCAAATGCCTACTAAAAAATGAATGGATAAGCAAAATGTCAGGTACATAAAATGGAATATTATTCAGCCTTAAATAAAGATGGGCGTTTTGATATATGCTACAACATGGATGAACCTTGAAAACATTATGCTAAGTGAAATTAGCAAGACACAAAGGGACAAATGTTGTATGATTCCACTTACATGAGGTACCTAGAACAATCAAATTCACAAAGATGGAAATTAGCATAGAGGTTTTCAGGGGCTGGGAGGAGCTGGTAATGAGGTGTTATTGTTTAATAAATAGTTTCTACTTGGAATAATGAAAACATTCTGGAAATAGTGATGGTGGTTGCAAAAAATATTGAATGTACTTAATGCCACTAAATTATGTGATTTAAAAATGATCAAAATGGTAGCATTTATTTTTCTAAATATTTTGCTACAATTTAAAAATTTAAGCAATATTATATACAACCCCATGAAACAGGGACTAATTTAACAAAATACATATACTAAACTAAGACAAAGTTCAGAGAGAAATGAAAAACCTACATAAATGGAGAGAAATACCATGTTTACACTTTAGAAACCTCAATACTGTTAAGATGTCAATTCTCTCAAACTGGTCTACAGATTCAAACTCTCAGCAAGACCTTTTTGTAGCAACAGATAAGTCAATTATAAAGTATACACGGCAAGTTAAAGAATCTAGAAAAGCCAAAAACAATTTTGAAAAAGAACAAATTTGTATAACTTTCATGATATGATTCCAAGACTTGCTACAAAGCTACAGTAATCATATTAAGGACATATGAGATAGTACTACACAACCACTAATGGCAAGAGCTCAAATTCAAAATACCTGTAATACCAAGTATTGGCAAGGATGTGGAGAAACTGAATTTTCAAGTATCGATGTGGAAATATACATCACTAGAACACGAGGGACTTCATATATAGCCTACTGGTTTTCAACCAAGTTCCAAACGTACTAAATGAAGAAAGGAGAGTCTTCAATATAGTGCTGAACAACCATACGGGAAAAAATAAACCCTGGCCTTTGCCTCACACTACCCGCAAAAAAATAGCTAAAAATCTACCATAGGCCTACACATAAAACTATATAACACATCTAGAATAAAAAAAACAGAAGAGACTCTTCATTAACTTGAGATAGGCAAAGATTTCTTAGACAAAAAGCACTAACCATAAAAGAAAAAAATGTATAAACCGAACATCAAAATTGGAAGTTTCTGCTCTTTGAAACATACCACTATGGAAACCAAAAGGCAAGGCACAGTTGGAGAGAAAATATTCATAATTCATATTCTTCAAAAAGGACTTATATCCAGATCATATAAGCATTTCCAAATCAATAAGACGACAACTGATCTTCCCAAAAATAGACTAAGTAGTTGGACACTTGACAAAAGAAGATATAGGAATGGCCAACAGACATATTAAAAGATCCTCAACATCATCAGTCACTAGGGAAATACAATTTAATGCCCCATGAGAAACCACTACATACACCCACAAGAAGTTATTATTCAAAAGACCTCCAATACCAACTGTTGGCACAGATGTGGACAAACTGAATTTTCATATATTGATGTGTGACTGTCAATGGTACAGTCACTTCAGAAAACAGCTGGGCAGTTTCTTAAGAAGTTAAGCATATACTTTCCTTACTACTCTTAGGCAGCAATTCCTCTCTCAGGTAGCTACCCAAGAAATATCAAAATATAGGTGTATACAAAGTCTTGTACATGAATGTTCTTAGCAGCATAATTCATAATAGCCACAAATTAAAAACTACCCAAATGTCCATCAAGAAGTGAATGCATAAAAATGAAATACTACTCAGCAGTAATAAGGAACAAATTACTAATATACACAATAACATGGCTGAATCTCTACGTTATGCTGAGCAAGAAAAGTCAGATTAAAATGAATACATAAGATTCAATTTATATAAAATTCCAGAAGAGGTAGAAATCTATAGTGACAAAAAGCTTTTCGATGATTGTGTGGGGCCAGGGGGTGTGTGGATAGACTGGCTGCAAAGGGAAATGAAAGGCATTCCGAGGGTGACAGAAATGTTCTATATCTTGATTGCCATGGTGGTTCATGAATGTAAAGCATCCAAGAATATACTTAAGTGTTTACTGTCTGAAAATTAAATTTCGATAAAGTTGATTTTCAAAAAATATCAATGCAAAGCATTCCAACCAGGGTTGCACAAGATTTCTGAAATCCTGATCCTCTCTCCTCAGTCTCACCTGGGCAGCAGGGGATAGTGTAAATGATACTTATGTGGAGATGGCAGCTGAAGCCAACTTTCTCGTTTATCTCAGTGTACTGTACATTACTGTAATTTTCTGCGGATGCTATAAATGTTAGAAAGCATTAGCCTAAGAATGTTTTAATGTAGATTCCCAACCCTGTTCAAACATTGAGATAAAAATCCTATACCTTAAGCACACTTATCAATTTTGATCTTGGTGCCTTCTGTCTCTTTAGAAAGTTGTATAAGTAGATGTGGGCATTTGGATTTGATGGAAACTTTTCATCATATGCATAATTGGTGAGTACTTCTTGGGCTCCATCTCGATCCCCATAGAATTCCAGCATCTATATAAAATAAATCATAATATATTAGCTGAATTCTGTAAGACAGCTATATGAAAGATAATATACACCATAGTTTACTGATGGATATTTTTTTAAAAAGCACAAAACTGACAGGGCTCCCTTTTTTTCCTGTATTTTGTTACTATTAATAAAAAATGCAACAACTTCAACATAAATACTCTTCCTATAAAAAATAAGAGTCCTCGGCTGGGCGCAGTGGCTCACGCCTGAAATCCCAGCACTTTGGGAGGCTGAGGCAGGTGAATCACAAAGTCAAGAGATCAAGACCATCCTGGTCAACATGGTGAAACCCCGTCTCTACTAAAAATACAAAAAATTAGCTGGGCATGGTGGCGCGTGCCTGTAGTCCCAGCTACTCGGGAGGCTGAGGCAGGAGAATTGCCTGAACCCAGGAGGTGGAGGTTGCGGTGAGCCGAGATCGTGCCATTGCACTCCAGCCTGAGTAACAAGAGCGAAACTCCATCTCAAAAAAAAAAAAAAAAAAAGAGTCCTCAAAGGAGGGAATACTAATGCTTGAAAATATGATGCAACTAACCTCAGTGCCCTACATAACTGCAGCCACAAAGGAGTACACAGGAATTATAGTTCATTTCATTCTGTTCCCATCTTTAAACAGGAATTTCCAGGTTATGATTTTGGAGATTATCTTCTGACAACACAATCATCACGTTAGCATTCAATAATTTTCACAAAGGAAATTATTTTGAAGATTTATTCCTAGTGCCTAGCACCAAGGCCCTCAGTCCTTTTACGATGACTCTGTGATGGCAGGACATTCTTACAAACCTCCAAAAAGCCATCATTCTTCATCTCATATATTGTGACCCACTTTTGGATTTTTGTCCTCTTTCCTTCTATATCCCTCCAAATCATAAACTACCTTACTGCATTTATTTTAAGCTCAACATGAATAAGATTGAATTAACATTTACAACTATACTGCTATTTATTTTATAGATATTTGGTCACGATGGCTTACAGAGTAGCGAAAATAAATTCAGAACAAAAAAGAGATGCCATATTTTTGTTTTCTTCTAAATAATTTTTTCCATTAGTTTCTTTCTGATTAATAAAGATTAGGTATGCAGTCTCTGTATAGGCTTTTGACAAAATAAAACCAATAAATTTTATGAAAATTCTACTTACTTCTACATAACTCTTCACAAAAGGGTCCCAAACTCCAGGAATTTTAATCAATGCAGAAATATTTACAGACGTCTTCCAGCTGTGGTTGAACACATCTTGGGCTACTGCGCTGTAAGCATAATCATCCTTATCTGCCCAAAAATAAAAGATCTTTTAACACTGATTAAGTATTGAGGACTTCTATTAAACTACCCACAAGAAAAACTCAGTTCCTGATAGCTACAATGGTAAATTCCAACAAATATTTAAAGGAAAATACTAATTCTTCACAAATTCTCCAAAAAAAAGGACAGAAAAGAATACTTCCCAACTTATTCTAAGCCAGTATTACCATGATACCAAAACCAAACAAAGACAACACAATAAACCTACAGATCAGTCTCTCTTATGAATACAGCTGCAAAAATCTTTAACACAATATTAGCAAACTGAGTCCAACAACATATAAAAAGCATTAAATATCATGCCCAAGTGGGATCTATTCTAGGAATGCAAGGTTGGCTTAACATATGAAAATCAGCTAATGCAAATAATAAAATAGTGACCTACTGATCTAAACCATACCAAAAGAATACAGGACCCAAACGTCATGATCATCACAATAGATGCAGAAAAAGTGTATGAAAAAAATACCAGAACCCTTCATGATAAAAACAATCAATGATTTAGGACTAGAAGGAACTTCCTCAATCTGATAAACGGCATCTATAAAAAACCCATAGATAACATGGAACTAAATGATAAAAGTTTGCATGCTTTCCCCCTAAAATCAGGAACAAGACAAAGATGTCCTTTTTCACTACTTTTGTTCATTATATTGGTGGTTCCAGCCAGGAGAATTAAGCGAGAACATAACAAAATGACATCTAAGATTGGAAAGAAAGAAGAAAAACTATCTTCCATTTGTAGATGACATGGTCTTGTACACAGAAAATTCCTAAGAATCCACTAAAAATTCACTGAACTAATAAATGAGTTCACAAAGGCTGCAGAGTACAAGATCAAAAAACAATAATCAATTGTATGTCTATATACTTGCAATGAACAATCAGAAAATAAAATTAGGAAAACAATGCCATTTGCAAAAGCATCGAAAGTAACAAAATGGGTATAAATTTTACAAAAGAGATGTAAAATTTTACTCTGAAAAGTGATACCGTTAAAAAAATTTTAAAGACCTAAATGAATGAAAAGACACCCTATACTCAGTTTAAAGACTTACTATTGGAGGAGAGAGGGCCAAAATCTGGCGCAAGGAGGGCTGAACAATCATCGTGAACTGTAATTATGCCAACAACAACGGGGCCGGAGCCGCCGCGGGCCTTTTCAAAGGGCAGAGGGACGGAACAGGAGGCGAGAGCTGCGCGGGCCCGTGGATTGCATGGTGCCCAGCGCCGCGGCTGCCTGGCAGGAGGACCTTGGAGCGGGGTCGGGCTGAGACCAGCTACTTTTCCCCTTAGCCACACCAGAAACCGCCCTCCTGGACAGCCGCAGGGGTCCCCGCTGCTACCACAGCTGAGCAGCCCAGCCTGAGGCCGGGCCCAGCAGCTGCAGCTGCGCCCCGCCCGCCCACCGTCCTGGTGCTGCTGTGGACTGGAGCTGCTTGGCACTCGCGCCCCACGGCGGCTTCCCGGGCGGCTGGGCACGCACCCCAACAAGGAACCCAGGGAGGCGCTGAACACGGCACAGGGCGCACACGACTTCATCTATAGCCTGCACTCCATAGAGAGGAGCTGCCTGCTCAGAGAGCTGCACCGCTTCAAGTCCATTTGCCGTCTCCCAAGAAAAATTGGAAGCTCCACCACCCACCCCAGGACAGCTGAGATATGGGAACCCATATTGAAATTATTTTGGGAATTTCAACTATGGCAGCTGCTGCTTTGGGTAATCGTGTGTCAGATTTAGCTGGACTTGGACTTGCAGGCTACGTTGAAGCATTGGCTTCTAGGTTAGGCCTGTCAATTCCTGATCTCACACCAAAGCAAGCTGACATGTGGCAAACACGTCTTAGTACACATTTGGGCAAAGCTGCTAGGGTGACTATTGGCTGCATTCTAGGAATGTTTCCTTTGATTTTCTATGGAGGAGTGAAGATGATGAAGAACTGGAAACGAAAAGTTAATCCTCTTGGAATACCTATAAAAATATGTAAACTAATGTACCTCAGTTATTAAATATGCTGTCACATGTCACAACATTTAGGAATTAAGACAGTAACAGTATAGATATGGGCAAAGCTGTTAGGGTGACTATTGGCTGCATTCTAGGAATGTTTCCTTTGATTTTCTTTGGAGGAGTGAAGAAGATGAAGAACTGGAAACAAAAAGTTAATCCTCTTGGAATACCTATAAAAATATGTAAACTAATGTACCTCAGTTATTAAATGTGCTGTCACATGTCACAACATTTAGGAATTAAGACAGTAACAGTATAGATATGGGATCAAATAATTTAGCATGTATTATGGAAAACACTAACTTATTGTGGTTTGATCTTCTTAGGACATCTTTTTAAAAAAACCATTCGGTATCATTTTGTGTAAATTGTTGAAATGCTTTTTCATCAATAGCAGTCAACATTTTATCTTTTTATGTTCATAATGTTATTTAAGTATCAGTCATTAATGTACTGTATTGACTTGGGGTTTGCTTATTTGTTACTTAATGTGTACATGCATAAAAGCATTTTTGGGTTGTTGTTCCTTGGTAGTTACATTTCAATCTTGAGATTTCCCCCAAATTACTTAAGATGTTTAATATCAGTTAAAGATTTTTTTTTAACCCTCCTTTTGGCAACATCAATTTTGTACTGTTATGAAGTAAACATTTATAATCATAATTTCAGTCATTTTCTTAACTCTCACATCTGTAGAAAATAGATGTGGATACAGATTTTAAGTATTTTAAGTATATATCACTTATTTTAATTTTCTGACTTTACTATTTTATGAGCAAGAGGTTAAGAAGAAAGAGCAATCATGTGGTCGGTCTCCCTGCTACATATAACAAGTATGTGCTAACAAGTGTACTATTTTTAATTGACTTTTTTTTAACCTTTAGTTTCCCAGTTTTGAATAATTACATGGTGGGTTCTGACTTCTGAGGGGAAGAAAATGGTTATTTTGGAATCTTTGAAATGGGGATTGTGAAATTAGATTGAAGTAAAGGATTCAATATGATGCTTGAAAATTAAGAGGCTAAAGTTTTTTTTTAAAAGAAAATGTTGAAAATAGCAACGGTCAAGAAGGTTTATGGTATAAATGGTGAAGTTGAAATGATGTTTGGAAGGCTAATGAGATACAAATTATATTATTTGGGAAGGTTTCTTTTCTTCCTCCAAATATGTCATCATCTCATCTGAATGGAATGAATCTGAATATTCCGTATTCATACTGCTAATCTCATCATATCTTACTTAGCAAATTTTACTTATGAATAATTTCTTTTGTAGTGAAAATTAGATATTTAATATTTTGCTTTTTTGCTAGTCTACTCAAAAATTACATGAAGGGGAATCCTTCCTCCCTGTTTTTCTTTTTTCTTCTTTTGTGGTATTTAAAGAATATTTTAGGTTGAAGTTACTTATTTCTAGTTTTGTACATCTGACTTAAATAACCATGTAAGAATTATAAATTTCAGTTTTCTGAACCCTTAAACTTTTTAGCATGTAATCTGTTACACATGCTAAAAAATTATTCTTACTTGTAACAGTGTAAATACATCATGGAGGAGAGAAACTTAAAATATAAGTATATAACATGCACAAATAACATTCTTATTGAATCAAATCATAATTCTAGAACTTGTGATCTTAAATAGAATTTTGTTTTGTATCTTCCATATAATACCACACACACACACACACACACACACACACACACACAACCAGACAAAAAAATCCTTTGTAAAATTTCAGATTCATAGGATTAGATTAGATACCTATATTTTGGGCAGTGAGGAGGTAAAGTGTAGGTGCTTTCTTCTGTCCCTAACTTGTATATTGATGGCAATCCATTCTGTTTTCCAAAAATGTATGTGGTGCTTAACTTCTTATTAATTAAATCCCATTATCAGAAAAAAAAAAAAAAGGACTTACTATTGTCAAGTTGATCTACAGATACATGTAATTCCTATCAAAAACTCAGTTGGCCTTTTTGCATAAGGTGACAGACTAATTCTATAATTCATATGAAAATGCAAGGGATCAAAGAAGAACAAAGAATCTTTAAAAAGGACAAAGTTGGAGAATGCATACTATGACCTTAAAAGTTACTACGAAGCTGTAGTAATCAAGATGGTGTGATATGGACAGATGAGAGACATATGTAGATCAATGGAAGAGAATTTAGAGTCCAGAAATAAACCTCCACATTTATGGGTAACTAATTTTCTTTTGTGTCTGTGTAAGACAGGGTCTCACTCTCACCCAAGCTGGACTGCAGTGACGTGATTTCAGTTCACTGCAGCCTCGCTCTACCTCCTGGGCTCAAGTGAACCTCACACCTCAGCCACCCAAGTAGCCGAGACTACAAGCACACGCCACTGCACTCAGCTAATTTTAGTTTTTATAGAGAGGCATTTTTGTAGACAGGCATTCTGTAGAGAGGCTCATGCGATTCGCCTATCTTGGCCTCCCAAAATGCTAGTATTACATTAAAAACATTATGCTTTATCAAAATTTTCTGTTAGGGAAAAAATAACCATTATGCTAAGTAAAAGAAGCCACTACAGAAGACCACATACTGTATGATTCCATTTGTATGAAATGTCCAGAAAAGGCAAATCTCTAGAGGCAGAAAGTAGATTCATGGTTGCCTAGGACTGGAGGGATAGGGAGAAACGTAGAGTACAGGGTTTCTTTTTAGGGTCACAAAAATATCCTAATATTGTGGTGATGGTTGCATAACTCTGTCAATATACTAAAAAAACACTGAGTTGTATCTTTTAAGTGGGTGAATTTGTATGGTATGTGAATTATATCTTAATTCTCAATAAAGCTATAAAGAAAATAAAATGAGAGATCACTACACCCAACAAATTGGCTGCTATGAACACTCCAACAGCAAACGTTGAGAAGAATACAACAAAAGAAAACTCGAATTGGATTGACAGTAAAGTACAAATTGGTAACCTCTTTAAAAAGAGTTTAGTATATTATATACTAAAGTTAAAGACGCACAAAACATATTCTATACAAATTCTACTAGAAATTGTGTGTACCAGTATACAGAAATAAGTAGGGGTTAATTTCAAAGCATTATTTATAATGGCCCAAAATTATAACCTAAATGGCCATCAATAATAGAAGGAATAGTGTGTCTATCATAAAATGCTTTATAACTGCAAAAATGAATAAACAAGACCTATATCCAATATCATCTTAAAACCAATGTTGAACAGAATATGCAAGGCCTAAAAGAATATATACAGTATGAATCCAAATATTGCACTCAGATATAGGCAAAACTAAATCACACTGTTTACAAATGTATATATGAGTTTAAAGAGTATAAAGAAAAACAAGGGAGTGATTACCGTAAGTCAGGAGAGGGATTTTCTTCAGAATGGGAGGAAATGCGATCAGGAAGGCACACAGGGAGAGCTTTTAGGTTAGGGTGACAGTATACTGTGTTCCTTAATCTGGGCGGTAGTTATATGAATGTTCATTTTAAATTTCTATATTATACCTCACATTTGTTTCATATGCTTTTTCTGTATCTATTTCTCAGTCTTAAAGGTTTACAAAGCAAATTACTTAAGTCTTTCAAAAACAGTAGCTATTAGAAGCACAGGATACTACAAACCAAACAGAGGCACTGGTATTTTTTTCCCAGTGATCAATTAAATATATATCAATATGAACTTAGAAATGAGGTGATAAGAAAAGTAGATAAGACATGATATGGAACTTTTTTTTTTTTTTAAAAAGGGCTGGGAATGGTGGTTCATGCCTATCATCTCAGCAGTTTGGAGGCAGGATGATTGCTTGAGCCCAGGGGTTCAAGACCAGCCTGAGCAACATAGTGAGACCCATCTTTACAAAAAAAATTAGGCATGATGGTGTACACCTGTAGTCCCAGGTCCTTGGGAGCCTGAGGTAGGAGGATCACTTGAGCCCAGGAGGTCAAGGCTGCAGTGAGCCGTGATCACACCACTGCACTCCAGCCTGGGTGACAGCAAGACTCTGTCTCAAAAAGAAACAGGCAGATCCCTGAGCATAAATTGAGTATAAATTTATTATAGAAGGAGGGTTCTGGTCACCAAGTGCATCAATCCCAACCACAACAGAGCAATACATATAGCAGCAAGATGAGTCACAAGCTGACTCTGAGTACAAGTTCACATGGTAAATGTCTATGAGTCTGGTTATAAAGAAGTAGTCCTACCTTATATTCTCATTAAATAGACATTTGAGGTAAATGATCATCTAAGAGTTCTACACATTATCCCATCTAAGAGTTCTACACATTATCCCAAATGTCTATGAGTCTGGTTATAAAGAAGTAGTCCTACCTTATATTCTCATTAAATAGACATTTGAGGTAAATGATCATCTAAGAGTTCTACACATTATCCCATCAGCTATTGTTGCTACAGAACTGTCAGCTATGGAGAAGTACTGAATCATCTATCCACAGGAGTAACATTACAAATGCCATGTTCCAACAGCTTTAATCATCAAATATTTGCTTGGAGTTTTACCTAACCATGTGTAAGAAGAAAAGTAAACGCTGACTTTAAAACTAATCAACAAGTAAGTTTTTTTTAAAAAAAGAAATATTACACCAGAAAATATGACAAGACTAACAAATAGAGGATAGATATGGCATCAAAAATTAGTCTAAATGGGAAGACCTCTAGACTAATAAAATACACATGAAAAACCTTAGCACAGTTAGAAAGCAAGAGATGAAGATCCCAATGATTCAAGCTGAACATGCAGCTGATATACTAGGTTTAAGGTGTAAGAATGGGGGGTTGGGACAGGGATCTAATGAGTCTTGAAGGGTAGACAGCATTCTGAATGAGGAAACTCTACAAAGACCTCACAAGATTACCATGACAAAGAAGGCATTTCAGAGTATCTTCAAAGAATAGGGAAGGGAATTGAAATTAGTGAAACTACATGCCCAGAGACCAAGGAAATACTACTTTTTTTTTTTTGAGATGCAATCTCGCTTTGTGAAATACTACTTATCACATAAGGATAATAAGGAAATACTGCTTACCACATATGAAGTGATAAATACTAGGGCTAAGATATGGAGCAGAATAAAAACAGAAAGGGGTTAATTTTAGAGAAATTATGGAGAGAACTATACAAGGGAAGCAAATTGCAAAGAATCATACAGCTCCAAAAAATGCAAATCTGGACATAAATGAAGATAACATGCCACTGAAGGTTAACAGAAGGGGCATCAGTTTGAGAACTGAATGGTCAACGTCTGGTGTAGTCAATACATCAAGAAAATTGTCCATTATAACCTGTGTACAAAAATGAAACGACCATCTTGACCTATTCTTTAAACATTATTATTTGGAGAAACAACCTTACAAAACACATTAAACTCCATTCTAAGCACACAGGAAGAAATGTTTATTATATGTGATAATGACTGCTGAAGAAAATCTGCAGCCTTTCTTAGAAACTGGCAAAGACTTTCTTCCTGACTGAACTCCAGCCAGGCGCCTCTGAGCTCTCTTCTGGACTAGGCCTCACACTTGGCCGATACATACTTGAAGAGACACCAGCATAGTTTGTAACAGTTCAAGGCCACATCCCCAGGATGACCCTAGCCCCTCTTGAAATGCTTGCCTGGGAAAACTCCAAAAGAATTTACTGTGGGTTCTGCTTTCTGCTTTTTAAGCTCCCCACTCCCACCCTTTACAACCCTAAGTCACCTCCACAAAAACTGGAATCGAGCTTAGTTCTTTCTCCTACTGTCAGCAGTTACTGAATCAAATCTGTCTTCACTGCTCTAATGTCTGGCTGTTTATCCTTGACTAAATCACATTTGAAACAGCAATGAACCTAAAATGATCATGAACTTAATTATGGACCATCTAATTAAAGGTTTTTATATATCAGAAATATTATAAAGGATGATCAAGAATTTTAAATCCATAAAAAGTCTGTTCTCCATAATATCTGGATGAAGTTGATAGGGAAATTACTAGATTACTCTTTAAGATCCCTCAGCCCCTCAGTCTCATCACAAGAAAAATTTACCTGTATTCACTCACCAAGCTTTGACAATTCCCTCTTTTTTTTAGACCAGGTATAATACTGCAAAAGCCCTTTATAGGCCTGAATAAGGTTGATTAATATTTCCCGGGAAGATGTCTTTTCACCATGTCTCCATGTCTCTGCCTCACTCAGCTTTCTCTTAGCATCTTCAAGCATTCCATGATGCAGAAGATATAATGCGTGTTGTAAGGAGATCTGCAAAAATAGTTAGGGCACACTGCCATTTAAGCCATTAGATAACCATTAGTCAAAAAAGCTCAGTAAATATACAATACATGCGGGGCTAAGACCTTGGTAGGATACAAATAACCTGACACTGAAAATTTTGATGCTGGGGACAATCTAGCAAAGAAGAAAGACACAGGAAACAATTAACACTATGTAGACATGAGCTCAATCATGTAAACTTACCAATAGAAGGCAGTGTGATATAGTGGGGTAAAAAAGGGCTTGGCGTATGAATGCCACTTAAAAACTAAACCAGCCAGGCACAGACTCACGCCTGTGATCCCAGCACTTTGGGAGGCTGAGGCGGGCGGATCACGAGGTAAAAAGATTGAGACCATCCTGGTCAACATGGTGAAACCCCGTCTCTACTAAAAATAGAAAACTTAGCTGGGTATGGTGGCATGCACCTGTAATCCCAGCTATTTGGGAGGCTGAGGCAGGAGAATCACTTGAACTCAGGAGGCGGAAGTTGCAGTGAGCTGAGATTGTATCATGGCACTCGAGCCTGGAGACAGAGCAAGACTCTGTCTCAAAAAAAAAAAAAAGAAAACTAACAAAATAAACCTAGGTAAATTATTCACCCTGTGTGAGTCTCATTTGTTTTATGGAACATTATTGGCCCTTTGGAAGGGTGTTTTCAAGATTAAATAAGATAATATTTGCAATCCACCTAAAACCTAGTTTGACCCATAACAGACATTCAATAAATATTACTATTTTATACATATTATATAAGCTTAGAGAAAATATCTTAATAAGGGATGTTGAAGAATGGCTTCAGTTCACATAGAAAGTGTATCCCTGATACAGGAGAAGCAGGAAGAATAATTACACAAAGAATGAGTCCTAGAAGAAAGGAAGACATTAAAGAGGAGAATAATGAGAACTACAATTAATCATTTAGGTACAGCCAAAGTACTGCAATAATTTGTAAACTGGCCTCTCCATTCCTGCATCCCTATAATCCATCTTTCAAGGGGCTACCAAAGAACTCTCATCTTGTTAGTCATTTACACAAACTCCTTCAATGGCTCCCACTTACTACAGAATTAAAATCCAAGTTCCTTGAGTATGGGATACAGGGCTCAGCCTACTTCCCCTGACCTCTACCCAAGTGATTTTTAGAGCAACTAAAGTATCGGATATAGGGCTACTGAACTCTTTATAATCCCTGCCATGCAGGACTGCCCTTTCCCTAATCTGCCTAGTGAACACACAATTGCTTTTCAAACTAATCTCAAGTATTACTTTCATTCTTTTCTTGACTCTCCAACCCATTAAATCCTAACCCTCTCTAGTTCCAGAGAACTAGAAGACGTCTTCTCCTTTGTCTTCTCATTATGAGTTGTATTTCTACTATGGTACCCGTAACACTTCATTCCATTTACATGACCTTCCTCTACTATAAGAACCATATCTAGCACCTGGACTGGTAAACTGCAATAAGTGTTTTTAAAATTATTAACAACAAAAAAATGTTTTATTATCTATCCTAATTATCACTCTCACAGACTCTCATGGAGAAATTAGGTTCCCTTTCAGTTTTTTTACTTCAACTGAGTAGATTCTATCAGTCAAAAGGGACCTAACCAACAGTTTAAACTTCAATACTCCCTCCTCAGTCAAATGGCTATCCAGTTACTACCTGAAAAAAAGAGATGCAGAGCACACATCAGGGTAGGCCATTCTCATTTTAGTCAGAAAGCTCTTCTTGGCTGGGCACAATGGCTCACATCTGTAATCCCAGCACTTTGGGAGGCCAAGATGGGTGGATCATAAGGTCAGGAGTTAGAGACCAGCCTGGTCAATATGGTGAAACCCCAGCGCTACTGAAAATAGAAAAATTAGCTGGGCATGGTGGCATATGCCTGTAATCCCAGCTATTAGGGAAGCTGCGGTGAAGAATGCCTTGAATCCAGGAGGCAGAGGTTGCAGTGAGCCGAGATCATGCCACTGCACTCCAGCCTGGATGACAAAGAAGAAAAGGGAAAAGGAAAAAGAAAGCTTTTCCTTATGTAGAACCATAAGCTGCCTCCACTTAATTTCCATTCACAGTATACCTGTCTACCACAGAACAAAATCATAAGGGCACCTGGCCCATAAGCAGACACTCGAAACTTTTTTTTTAAAGCAAAGCATTTACAAACTTGTATTGAAAAAGTACTCTTTTCAGACATACAGGGAGGTAGATACAATATTTTGAAAATGTCTCAATCCTTTTGGATAACACTTTTACAAAAGAACATGTAAACTTGGAGGTAAAGATTCCATCTAAACATTAGGAGCATTAAGATATTTTAATGTGTTTATATTCCCAACTTGTTTAGCTCTTTCCTTTTCCTAAAAATACCAACTCTAAGCTGTAATGACTTCAACAAACCTTTTAGAATTTGGCCCAACATCATAATGAAACACCACTGCAATCTCTAAAATAACTGGTTTTGACAGCCAGAAAAAATATACAAACAAAAGGAATTTTTAGTCAGAGAACACAGGAGGTGACTGAAAACCAGGAAGTAAATGGTTCTCACAACACTCTTTTCTTTCCTTTCCTCTTATTTATCCAGATGTCTTATCCTTGTCCCACATTTTTTTTAGACGGAGTCTCACTCTGTCGCTCAGGCTAAAGTGCAATGGCACACTTTCGGCTCACTGCAACCTCCGCCTGCCGGGTTCAAGCAATTCTGTCTCAGCCTCCCGAGTACCTGGGATTACAGGTGCATGGCACCATGCCTGGTTAATTTTTGTATTTTCAGTAGAGACAGGGTTTCCCCATGTTGGTCAGGCTGGTCTCAAACTCCTGACCTCGTGATCCCCCACCCTTAGTCTCCCAAAGTGCTAGGATTACAGGAGTGAGCCACCGCACCCAGCCTGTCCCACATTTTTTACATTATCTACCTTATCAATGACATGAGCAATTAAAAAAAAATACCACAAGTGTAAATTCACAAAGCCCTTATTCTCACCTTTAAATAATTCATGATGCCAATATTTTTCATCCGGTCAGCAAAAGTATTGAAAGTCTCCACATTGCTTTTTGGATGATAAAATAGAATTTCACTTCCGAGCTTCCAAATAATCTGTCAAATCAGAAATTACTACCAAAATGTAAAATTCTTGCCTTAACCAATTTCTAAGATATTTTTTCCTGATTACAACATTAATAACCTGTCATTCCTTTTCCTAGAGACCACTACTGTCAACATTTTCTCTACCCTGTAAAATTAATATTACCTCTTTATGTGATAATAGTTTTAACCTTTTAAATTTCTAATAAAATATCAGATAGTATGATAGTATCATTATTAATTTAGTAAAGAAAATAGGCAGTTGAGATACATATTCAATATAAAATATTTAACTGATATGGAAGGAAGAATATTAAAGTCAGAAAATTTGGTTCTAATAATATTGGCTTCCTCATTGGTCTTAGCCTCATCTTCATCATCTGCAAAATGAGGGCAACAAACTACATGTTTCCTGAGACCCCATTAATTTCTACAACTATTGACTACATTTATTCTATACTTAGAATGCCAATTTAAAAATTTTCATCAGCTATGGACAAATCTTAACAAAAAAATTTATCCTTAGATCACCAAAACTTTGGGGACAGAATTTGGAGCTCTTTTTTCATGAGAGCAAATCTCTATTTCTCTAACCTATATTTAAAATACATCGATAACACCAACTTCAAAGTAAATTAAACTGAACTGTAAATCAATTATTTCTATGGACATATACACTGGTTTTATGTGTATATACACATACTATCGCTGGTATAATTATATATAATATACATATTATCATTTGGTATAATGATCCTCATCTTCCCAACTCAGAGATATCAAGATTTCATTTGTAGAATATCACACTGTAGTATTTGGGAGCTTAAAGAAAATTTCAATTCTGGACCACCTCCCACCAGGGATGGGTAAATGAAGTGGGGAAAAAGCAGGAATAAGAAAAAAAACTTCAAGATTATTATAGCTATTCTTACACCCAGTTGTACACAAGAATTACATGGGGCACCTGTTAAAAATAAATATTCTGATTCAACAGGATGGGGGTGAAGTACAGGAATGTATACTTTCAGTGAAAGCCCGAGGTGATCCAAATAGAGCCAAAGAAGTGCTTAAAAAAAAAAAAAAAAAAAAAAACCACTGATCCAATTCCTTTATTTTATGAAACAAAATCTGGACAAGAATCTGTAACTTGTCCAGTGTTTTACATGTATATGTAACTTTAGTCCAAAAATTAAATTTTCAATCAATGGTAAAACTTTTTTTTTTTCGGTTTTGTTGTTGTTGTTTTTGCTCTAGAAGATAACTAACTGATGCAATGGTGACTGTATTAGTAAAAGCTATGGGTAAACTGTCTTTTACTGAACAAATATAGCAGTATATGCCAGGCGCTGTTTTTTTTTTTGAGACGGAGTTTCAGGTGAAGGGGGTATAGCTCAGTGGCAGAGCATTTGACTGCAGGTCATGAGGTCCCTGGTTCAAATCCAGGTGAGGTATCTGACTGCAGATCAAGAGACGGAGTTTCGCTGTTGTTACTCAGACTGGAGTACAATGGCACGATCTCGGCTCAATCCACCTCCTGGGTTCAAGACCAGGCACTGTTTTAATCCTGCCCTGTGACATTTATATTCTATGTAGAGAAACAAACAATAACCAAAAAACATAATTAAATTGTCAAGTGTTAGGGGAAAAAAATGGAGCAAAAGATAAGATCACGAGTGCAATTCTGAAAGTGCAGGTTGCAGGTGAAGTAAGGTAATTGTAATTTTAAATAGTCAACACAGGCCTCATTGAAAAGTGGCCTTGAAGGAGGGTAGCTATAGTGACATCTGAAGAGCTTTCCAAGAACTGGTTAAGGCAAAAGCAATCAGTCAGGAATATGCCTGGCCCATTTAAGTAAGAACAAGGAGGCCAGTGAGGATGGAAAAGAGAAAACAAGCAGGAGAATACAGGTTAAGTAACCCTTACCTGAAATCCTTGGAATCAGAAATGTTTCAGACTGGGGACGGGACCAAAGGCTAAACATGAAATTCACTTATGTTTCATATACACCTATAGCCTGACGGTAATTTTATACAATATTCTTAAGATTTTGTGCATGAAACAAAAATTGTATACACTGACCATCAGAAAGCAAATGTGTCACTATCTCATGTCAGTACTCAAAAAGGTTTGAATTTTGTAGCATTCTGCTTTTCACATTTTTGAATTGAGAATGCTCAACCTGTTACAGGAGATGAAGTAAGAGAGGTCAAACAAGGAAAAGGAGTGAGCACATCACAGAGAAATTTATAGGCAATTATGACTTTGGCTTTTACTGAATGAAATGGAAAGCCATTACAGTGTTTTTAGCAGAGGAGTGGCATGATGTGATATGTTTTAAAAAGCTCACTCTGAATCATTAGTCATTAGAGAAATGCAAAACATAGCCAGGATGATGCCACTTTACATCCTTGTGGTTACAAGGATGGCTATTATCAGTAAGACAGGACAGTAACAAAATATTGGCAAGGATTGGACAAATTAGAAGGCTCAGATATTGCTGGTGGGAATATAAATGGTGTGACCACTTTGGAAAACAGTCTGGCAGTTTCTCAGGAGGCTAAACATAGTGTTACCATATGACCCAGCAATTCCACTCCCAGGTGTAGACCCAGGAGAAATTAAAACAAACATCCACGCAAAAACTTGTACACAAAAGTTCATAGAAGCATTATTTCCAATAACTGAAAAGCAAAAACAACCTAAATGTCTAACAACTGATAAATGGACAAATAAAACACGGTAGTTCCATGTAACAGATTATTTGAGAATAAAAGTAATGAAGTACTTATACATGCCACAACATGGATAAACCATGATAACATTATGCCAAGTGAAAGACACCATTTACAAAAGGCCACATATTATATGACACCACTTATATGAAACGCCCAGAACAGAAAGTAATAGATTAGGCTGGGCATAGTGGCTCACGCTTGTAATCCCAACACTTTGTGAGGCCAAGGTAGACAGATCACTTGAGGCCAAGAGTTCGATACCTGCCTGGCCAACAGAGTGAAACCCTGTCTCCACTAAAAATATAAAAAATTAGCTGGGTGTGGTGGTGCATGCCTGTAATCTCAATCACCCAAGAGGCTGAGATACAAGAATCACTTGAACCCAGGAGCTGGAGGTTGCAGTGACCAGAGATTGTGCCACTGCACTCCAGCCTGGGCAACAGAGCAAGACTCTGCCTCAAAAGAAAAGAAAAAAAGAAAGTAAAAGATTAGTGTCTGCCAGTGTCTGGCAGCTCTGAGGAGGAACAGGGAAAGACTGCAAGTGGGTACAGGATTTTGGTTTCATGGGGGAAAAAAAGGTTCTAAATTTAGAGTGTGGTAATGGTTGGTTGCACAACTCTGTGAATATATAAAAATACATTGAATTGTACAATTTAAATGGATGACGGTGTATTAACAATGTCTTAATAAAACTAAAAAAAGGATCAATTTAGTTGGAAAAAGAATAATTCTTTCAAGAAGTTTTGCTGAAACAGTAAAACAACAACACGTAGTCTGTAGGGGAAGTCGGGGTCAAGAGATGATTTTAAGATAGAATAACAAAATGTTTATATGATGATGGGAAATATCCATAAAGGGGGGGGAAGAAACAATTATTAGAATGAATGAATATTTTAGTCTCCTTTAAAATAACAGGTAAAAAGACATATTCAAAAAAGGTCCCAATAACAAACTCTCTGCCCAAAAGTAGTTTTAATAGCTTTTAGCAAAATCATTGAGATTCTGTAAAAGCTATTGTAGGTGAAGCTGGAGGCAGAAACTCTTGGGAATCTATCATTTCTTCCAGCAAACTCAAACTTTGTTTACCTCAGGTGCAGCCTGCCTTTTGTAGCTATCTGAATCTTCCAAGGTCTGAAAATAACTGTGCATGTATTCTGCAGCTTGCTGCCACTGGTGCTTCAGCAGAGCTTCTTGGATAAAACTCAAACAAGCACTTGTTGTCTGAGCAAAATCCTTCTTCCTTTTCCCTCCAATGGCTATAAAAATGAAAAAGAAGAGTTTTCATCCATAATGACTCCAGTTCAACTATTCAAAACACTTACTTCTGATAAGTTTTAACAAGTAAACTGTGGGTATTACGTGACCCAACCCATTCCCAGTATCAAAGCCAGCTTCACTTGAAACACACTCTTCCACATCGATTATTTTTAGCAAATAAAAAAATATCTAAATTGATGTTTTGGGGCTACTAGAGTCACCAGATCCTTTAAATCTGATTCAATCATTCTTTCATCCTTGTACTAAATGATTTGGGGAAAATCTCTCAAACAGGCCCCCAAAAGCACAGTCCCAGGTATTTAAAATGGATAAAATGCCAAGGTCATTCTAGGCAAACATGGTCTTTACTACCTTCCCATGTTCTGCAAACTCCAAGTGGGCTTTTATTTTTTAAGGACCAAATTCCTAGTAACTCAATGATATTAAATACAAATGAGATTAAAACAGTTGTAAAAAATAGCATTTACATCTCTAAAAGATGTAATTGGCAATCCCCATGTTAAGAAGAGAACATTGGCAATCCCCATGTTAAGAACAGAATGACTAGGTACATAGTTACCTCCTCTTCTCTTCCCATATAACTACCAGCCCCGCCTCTAGTCCAGCTGGGTAACTGTAAGTACACAAAGACCAACTGGTACTTTGCAAAGATTCGACTTGCAGATTTTTGATTTCCTTACATACCCTTTCCAAAAGTTAATCTCCTAGACAGCTGTGCCTATGTAGTAAAAGCTTCACAATCAAAATCATTACACATTATCTGAAGGTGAAAATGAAGGTGTTGAAAAAGTAAATGACATCTCCTTTTGCAAGTTAGGCAATTCCCAATTCTTTGCTTATCAAAACTGCAGAAAAACATAATTTTTTTTTACAATAAATCACTATGTAATTTTTCATGAATAATTTAGAAAAAGTTCAAGGACCTGATACATGGCTATAAATTCCATTCATTGCCATCTACTTACTTGTGTGACTAAGGTTTCTCAAAATTTATGTTAAAACTAAATATAGCAGAATCAATGCTAAATCTTTTCTCATTCTAGAAATACATAAAAGTCACCCACAAATACAAAAATTGGGAAAAAGCGATAGATTATTTAAAACAACACACACACACGAACATGCACACACACAGAGAGACAGAGAGAGAGAGAGAGAAAGAGAGAGACTTGCTCTGTCACCCAGGCTGGACTGTACTAGCACAATCATAGCTCATTGCAGCCTTTACCTCCTGGGTTCAAGTGATTCTTCCTTTGGCCTCCCAAAGTGCTGGGATTACGAGCAAGAGCCACCACACCCAGTCAACAACACTTTTAATATATATGTTATATTGATCAGCTATGTATAACTATTAATGATGACGTCTCAACCTAGAAAAAATTTTAATTCTTAAAACTTACAGGATATAAACAAAAAAAGTATGTTGATGCATACTTTTATTGCAAGAAGTACAACAAAAAGGAACACAAAATTTCCATCTATTAAAAGCTTTTTCATAATTTTTCTTAAAATGACAATGCAAGGCATTACAACCCTATGCTATTTGGACTCCATCACATATAAAGTAATACATATTTATTTAAAAATACCAACATCCTGGAAATTATTTCTTGCAAATATTAAACATATAGTAAAATTTTTTCAGACGATACCTTAAAACTGTGCAAGGTAGTAGTCAATTTTTCAAAAAAAAAAAAAAAAAAAAAAAAGTAGGGGATACATAAGTGAAAAGTTTGAAGACTACTGACTGCACCAAACTAGTTCTCAAACTTTTGAATGTACATACAAATCACGTGGGGGACCTGACCCTTGCTAGTCAATGTGGTCCTGGAACGTACAGCATTAGTATCACCTGGACTCTTATTACAATATACTATGCCCAGCTCTCTGAATCAGAAGCTGCATTTTATAAGTTCTATACCAAAGCTGCTCAAGATCAGTGGCAATACCAGCCAGCTAGCCTAGGAAACTAACAAAACACCTCGTCCTTAAAACATCTTTTATTTACCTAAAGGAGAGGACTGTTCTCAGGCTAAGCTCCCTTCTCTCTCTTAAGCTTTCACAACTGAGATCACAAATCAACTTTAGACAACTATACCTAAATGCTAGGAAAATACCCTTTTGTCTTCCAACCTAGCCTAGTTACCTCAGGAAAAGTTCTCCTTTCATTTCATTCTTTAATGAGCAAAAAGTAGTCTTACATGAGCCTGATGACTTAAAAGAAAAAAAAATTGTCAAGGAAAATACATTTTTACATGGAATAGAGATGTACAATAAAGAACCACTGTCATCAACCTAACTTCTAATATGCTACTGAAAGAATCTGGAAACGTATCAATCTGTCAACAAATATTTTTTGAGCACCACTGTGTGCCAAGCACTATTCTAGGTACTCATCATAGAGCTTCAATCCAGACTTGTCCCGTCTTCAAAGTTTTTATTATAAGGGGCTTGCTGGGTATGCCCTTCAAAATGCCAAAAGATACCTACCAGCATAAAAAATAAATACAGTAATTGTCAGGCAATTTTGTTTTCCTATTATAGTTAATTACCAGAACAATGTCAATATTACTTGCAAGTATTTTCTCATTGCAGACCAACAGTATTTTGGGTTTAACAGGCCATCTATGACATGTAAAATATTTCTAAGCATGTAAATTTTGGTCTTTGGTTTTAAATGTATCTACTTGCAGACTGACTCAGACCCTCTATAGAACACTGGTAACAGAAACATGCCCAAGTATGGCATAACTAGAGGGAATTTAAATTACTAGTTCCCTGCCAGGGAGGAGGTAGCACTATCTCTGACGTATCATTCATTCAGATCTGCCTTAAGCCATGTGCATTAATTTAGCAAAAATAAAACGAGGAGAGGAAAGGCACTATTATTTTTCAACACTCACTATGCGTAAGATACTATGCTAGGCACTTGAAGTATACTATCTCATTTTAAAAAATATACCTCAGTGATTAAAAGCGTAGTCTTTGAGATCAAACAGACCTGGGTTTGACTCTTGATACCACCACTTAAGAGCGTAATGTCTTTGAGATTCAGTTTCCTTCCACCTAAACTGTCTAGCACAAAAATTATTGAGTATTAACTTACTGAGATCATTAAATGAGATGATACTTAGATTAATATAAAAAAATAAAAGCAAAATTTTAGGAGCCAAGGAATCTCTGTCAAGGGGAGAAAAGGCTGGGCAAAAAATACATATTTAAGGGCAATAAGTAAAATGCTGGTTCAAATGTATTCCCCGGACTATACCACTTAACATGCCAGCATACAAATAATTGCTTCTTTTATTTATATTAAATATATTCTTATAGGAAACCTATCCCATAGAAAAACATGCTTGCATTTACATTAGATAAAAATGTAGAAAATGCTCTTTTATCTAGGCCAGGTAGAGTGGCTCATGCCTATAATCTCGGCACTTTGGGAGGCCGAGGTGGGCAGATCACTTGAGGTCAGGAGTTCAAGAACAGCCTGGCCAACATAGTGAAATTCTATCTCTCCTAAAAATACAAAAATTAGCCGGGCATGGTGGCAGCTGCCTGTAATCTCAACTACTCAGGAGGCTGAGGCCAGAGAATCACTTGAATTCCAAAGACGGAGGTTGCAGTGAGCCAAGATCAGGCCACTGCACTCCAGCCTAGGAGACAGAGTGAGACTTGGTCTCAATATATATAGATATATAGATACATATATATGATATATATAAAATATATATACATATAATATATATATCTAATAAATATATATATATATATATTTCATGACCAAATCTATTAGAAATAATGTCAATGCAATTCAACAGTAACTTCTGGAACACTTCCTAGGTATGTTTTCCTCAATGGCAGAGACCGTATCTTCTTCATCTATAACTCTCAAATATATAGTCAATGCCAGAGATAAAAGTGTTCAGTAAGTATTACTAAAAAAAAAATGTGTATCTAGCATAATACAGACTATCTATTATTAATCCAAGGGCAAAAAATTCTAAAAGAAAAAAGATTTTTTTTTCTTTGGCTTATGGCCTAAAAAATACCCCCATATAGTCCTATCTTGAAAATTAAACCAGCCTGGTTATTTTGTATCTGTATGGAATCTTACCACCTTCTTAAAGTTACAATGGTTCAGTGTTATTATTTTACTTACCCACAGTTTCTATGTAGGTTTGAAGCCAAGGAAAATGCATTCCTGCACCAGAGAGCACAGATGTTTCCACTTGTTCATCATCTGTTACAGGCCCTTTTAATTCTTCACTGAAATCACTCATACCTATTACAGACTGAGAATACCAGTTACTCTCTGTACATCTTAATACAGTCTTCTGAGTTGTACAGAAAAACAGCCATCTTTTTATCTAATAAATATAATTAGATCAGCAAAATGAATTACACCTGTGAGCTCTTTTAAAGTAAAAGATGAATTATGTCAGCAACAGCCAAAATAAATGATACATTAAAAAAAAAAAAACACCAAACTACCAATGTTTCAAGCCTATATAAAGAAAAATAAGATACTGTCCTCTAATTTAAAAAATGTCAAGTCCAGATGAATAAAATTAGCTACAAATAAAGTTTTGTTATTATTTGTATAACAAAACAATATAAGAAGTACAATAATAGTAGTAGTAGCTAATATTAGGCCCCTACTATGTACCAGAAGTATAAATTATCTAATATAATTCTCACAGCAATCCTGAGGTGAGTATATTACTTTCTTCCATGTTAAGGTTGAAAAAACTGAGGGGCTCAGTGAAATGATGAAACCTGCCTAACGTTACAAAGAAAGGTGATGTTACAAAAAAAGGAAATAGAACACCAAACTACTTGGCCATGACTAGAATTCGGGGTGTGTGTGGAGGAGGGGTGCGGAAGGTGAGAAGCGAACCTAGAAAGACAATCATAAGCCAAGCTGAATTTGGACGTACTTCTAAAGATGCTCAGGGCCCCTCCCTCATTACCCTTATGAAATCGAGTATTGGTACCTCTGATATTACCTCCTAAATTTCCCCAATTTCCCCTGTTCTCTGCAATCTTACAGCACTACCCTAGTTCAAGACCCCTTAAAACTGTGTCTAGATTACTGCGTTACCTTTCTAAACAACTACCCTGCCTCGGAGTCTGCTTCTTTGCATTACAGCCAGAGTAAACCTTCTAAAATCAAATTCTGTGGCTAGGAGTATGAGTTATAAGTAAAAACTGAATTTAAATTTGACCCATCAAGTATTTTGAGGAGTAGTTACACAAATCCTCCCTTCCCAAATCCTCAAAAATCCAAAAGAAGCAACCGAAGCTTCTCCATCCCCCTTCTCTCGTTCTCAGACCCCAAAAAATAGTTTCAGTATTAGGAGGAAATATCAGAAGAACATGGATGACTTCTGACACACCCCTTCCCGTTCCATTTAAACGCAGGAACCACGGGCGATATCCGCGGCACTTACCCGCCTAAAGTTAGAGCTCCTCAGTAAAGCTAAACTCAGTCTCTGACCCCGAAACACGTGAAATTTTCTTCGGAAGATCGGTTAGGAGAGCTTTATATGAGCATGCGCAAAACCCGCCTAAGGCCTTCAGGCAACGCGCGGCCTCACTCCTAACTCCTCCAGCAGCTGCAGACGTCTCATTGGCCCCTCCTGGACCCTGGAAATGACCCGGGAAGTGACAGTAAATTGCCCTGCTCCCATTGGTTTTGCCCGAGTTTTACATTTTTGTCTGTCTCAGCCATAAAGTGGAAGACTTACTTTTATTTCAAATGGAAATTGGGGCAAGAGATCGGTGGCTGGGTGAAGGGACCATTCAAAAGAGTAGAATGCAGGGCTGGGCGCGGTGTCTCAAGCCTGTAATCCCAGCACTTTGGGAAGCCGAGGTGGGTGGATCACGAGGTCAAGAGATCGAGACCATCCTGGTCGACATAGTGAAACCCCATCTCTACTAAAAATACAAAAAAATTAGCTGGGCATGGTGGTGTGTGCCTGTAATCCCAGCTACTCAATAGGCTGAGGCAGGAGAATTGCCTGAACCCAGGAGGCGGAGGTTGCAGTGAGCCGAGATCGCGCCATTGCACTCCAGCCTGGGTAACAAGAGCAAAACTCCGTCTCAAAAAAAAAAAAAAAAAGTAGAATGTGACTTTACCCGAGAAATTCACTACAACGGGATCAGCTCCCGGGGGCATTGCACAAGTGGAGGCGTGGCTAGCGGCTGTGACCAGATAAATCCATGCATTATTTTCTATTACAGTTTTAGCTTTGGGTTTAATTGGTTCGACGGCCTTCTCCACAATTTGGGCGAGAATTTCTTTTGCCTTCTCAGGAGAGGTTGTTCTGCAGACCCGTCTGGGGTCAACTTTCATAAGGGACATTGAGACAAGTGAAATATGAGTCGAAAGTAAATGGGTAAACCATGTGAAATGAGAGACATTTGAGGGGTTCTAGGGAAGATGACCCCGGAAAAGGACTAGAGGCCCATGGAAGTACAGTGTGCTGCTCCAATATTTAGAGGGCTGATCCGTGAAAGAAGTATCAGACCCTTTTTCATAGCAGCAGAGAACAGAACTAGGACTAATAAGTGAAAGCTAAAGGGAGGCTGCGTTCAAGTCACAGCAAGAAAGAAATTTGTCCACAAGTAAGGATGCACGAATAATAGCGTAGGCTCCCCCAGGAATCACTGAGTTTCCTCTTTGAACAATTTGAGAATCAGAGTTTGGGGAAGGATGATTAAAGCATCTAGTAAGACTTTGAGCCCGGGTGGGGTGGTTCATGCCTGTAATCCCGACACTGTGGGAGGCCGAGGCAGGTGGATTGTTTGAGCGCAGGAGTTTGAAACCAGCCTAGGCAACATGACAAAACCCCATCGCTACAAAAAGTAAAAAAAAAAAAAAAATAGCTGGGATGGTGATGCATGCCTCTAGTCCCAGGTACTCGGGAGGTTGAGGTGGGAGGATCACCTGAGCCCAGGAAGGTTGAGGCTGCAGTGAGCTGTGATCATACCACTGCACTCCAGCCTAGAGTAGGGAACAGAATGAAATTCTATTTTAAAAAAGTTTGTACATGGATTTCTTAAAATGCTACAAATACTTGATTTTATGTTGTGTTCGGAAACAATATGAAGTAGTTATGGGCTTGCAAGAAAAGTTCTTTCTGCTGCTCTTTCTGTCATTAGTTCTTATCCTCACTCAAGCCTGTGCTCTAACTCTACAGGCAGGGCTACCTAAACACACAAAATAACATACATAATCATTACCTTCTTCTAGTCTAGAGGCTTAGTCTGGCTACTTTTTTCCCTTTGGTCTGAGGTATAAATTCACCAAAAGCAATCCAGAAATGATTTTATATGGCTAAAAGTTTATGTTCTCCCAAAAATGAGGAAGAACTTTCTGATTCTCCTTGAGGTTCTCAAACACCTCTACAGAGCAGTAGGTAACAATGGGAAAGTTAAGAATAACGTAATGTACTCTACCTACCATTTTCTTTCCCGTGCCACAATTCTGACAGAAGTTTTTTTTTTTTAAGCATTGCTTACAGTGGAGGTCTACTGGTGTTGAACTTTTTGTTTTTATTTATCTGAAAATGTCTATTCTCCTTTCTATTTTGAAGGATTTTTTTCTGGGTAGAGGATTCTGGATTGGCAATTTTTGTCCACCAGCACTTTAAGCCCTCTGTTGATTTTAACCTGTTGTTTTTGATGAGAAGTCAGCTATCACTTTATGATTTTTGTTCAAGTGTAATGTATTATGTTTCTCTGACTGCCTGCAAAAATTTTTTTTTCCAGTAGTTGGTTATTTACAGTTCGACAATAATGTGTCTGGGTGTGATTTTCTCTGTAATTAGCCTATTTGATAGTCACTGAGTTTCCTAGATTGTTCATTTCTTTTTATGTTAATTTGGGATATTTCAGCCATTAATATTTTTTTATGTGCAGTTATGCTTCTGCTCCCCTCTCTGGGACTCCAATTATATGAATGTAAGACCACCTGTATTGAGGAGTAGCAAGGTTCAATTCATTTTTTTCCTGAACTTTAGACTGAATATCTTATATTATCTATCATCAAGTTAACTTTTTGTTATTTTTGTGGTGTCCAATCTACTGATTAGCCCATCTTGTGAATTTTTAAATTCAAATTCTATACTTCATAGGTCTTGAAATGTGTCTTTTTTTTTTAAAAAGTTTTCATTTATTTTTTGACATCCCATTTATTATGACTCTATTCCTTTAAGTCCTTGGAAGTATTTATAAAAGCTACTTTAAATTTTTTTTCTGCTATTCTCAACATCTGGATCATCTCAGAGACTTTTTTTTAATAGACTGTCTTTTCTCTTACGGTTCACATCTTTCTATCTCTGTGCATATCTGATAAAACTTAATTTTATGCTGGACACCTGTAGGTGACAATTATAGGGAATCTGGATTATGCTGCCTTCTTTAAAGGATGTTATGTTTTGTGTGGCATGCAGCTTAATTAGTGGATTTTTTTGGGTCATGTCAAATTTGGTATTATTCATTTTCAGTATGAGTCTTATTTGGTTTTATATCCAGTCCTAGCATATTCCCCTTACTCTTTGTGTGGTTCTTTCTCCTAAGACTTGGTTCTGGATTCTCAATTAAGTACTCAAGGTATTAGTGAAATTGCTGCATTGCTGGGCTGGAAATCTAATGTCTCCCAGCACTCCATGACCTTTAGTATCACTCTTCCCCTTTCCCCTACAGCAGGCAAGCTCTGCTAAGTCTTGCAAGGTTTCACCTAGCACATCTGTATCCAAAGTGAATTTCCATACAGGCTTTTAGTATTACCCCTTCTCTCTCTGTCTCTCTCTTCTTTCTCTCCTCTCTTTCTCCCCTGTCTCTTTTGTCTCTGTCTCTCTCTTTCTCTCACAAACACACACACACACACACACACACACCCTCAGATATTCTAGCCTAGAGGTGGTTATGATATGCACGTGGTGTGTATGGGATATGTGTGTGAGGTGGGTATGATATATGTATGGTGTGTGTGAGGTAGACATGGTATGTGTGGTGTATATGGGTTGAATATGTGGGGTTTGAGGTGGGCATGGTGTATATGTGGTGTGTGGGGTGGGTATATGTGTGTTGTGTGTGGTGTGTAAGGGGTATGTGTGTGAGGTATGATATGTATATGATATGCGGTGTATCTGAGGTGGGCATGGTATATATGTAGTGTGTGATATGTGAGGTGGGTATAGTACATATGCGGTGTATCTGGGGTGTGTGAGGTGGGCATGGTATATATGTGGTGTGTGGTGTATACAGGTTAAGTATGGCGGGTGTGTGAGGTGGCTATGATATGTGTATGGTGTGTATAAGGTGGGCATGGTAGTATGTGTGGTGGTTGTGGTGTATATAAGTTAAGCGTATGGTCTGTGAGACAGGCATGGTATATATGTGGTGTGTGAAGTGGGTATGTGTGTTGTGGGGGGGTATGTGCGTTGTGGGGGGGGTATGTGCGTTAGGTGGGTACGATACACGTATGGTGTGTGAGAGGTGGGCAAGGTATATATGTAGTGTGTGGTGTGTGAGGTGGATATGTGTGTTGTGTGTGGTGTGTATGGGGTGTGTGTTGTGTGTGTGAGGTGGGTATGTGTGTGGTGTATGTGTGGGACATACGGGTTAAGTGCCTGGTGTGTGTCAAGTGGGCATGGTATACATGTGGTGTGTGAGGTGGTTATGATATGCATGTGATGTGTATGGGGTGTGTGTGAGGTGGGTGTGATATGTGTGTGGTGTATATGGGTTTAGTGTGTGGGGTGTGTGGGGGGCATGGTATGTGTGTCATGTGTGGTATGTATGGGGTATGTATGAGGAGGGTATGTGTGTTGTGTGTGGTGTGTATGGCGTATGTGTGGTGTGTGTAGGTTGGCATGGTGTGTGGTATGTGTGAGGTGGGTATGATATGTGTGTGGTGTATATTGGTTCAGTATGTGGGGTGTGTGAGGTGGGCATGGTATGTGTGTCCTGTGTGGTAATGTGTAGTATGTGTGAGGTGGGTGTGATATCTGTGTTGTGTGTGGTATTAGGAATGTGTGTGGTGTGTCAGGTGGGTATGCTATGTGTGGTATGGGGTATGTGTGTGGTATATGAAAGATGGACATGGCATGTTTGTAGTGTGTGAGAGGTGCGTATGATACATGTGTTGTGTGTGGTATGTATGGGGTATGTGTGTGGGGTGTGAGGTGCGAATGGTATGTGTGCAGTGTGAGATGGATATGATATGTGTGGTGTGTATGGGGTATGTGTGTGGGGTGTGAGGTGCGCATGGTATGTGTGCAGTGTGAGATGGATATGGTATGTGTGGTGTGCATGGGGTATGTGCGTGTAGTGTGAAGTGGGCATGGCATGTTTGTAGTATGTGACAGGTGGGTATGTGTGTTATGTATGGGGTATGTGTGTGGGGTGTGTGAGATGGGCATGGTACATGTGCAGTGTGAGCATGGGTATGTGTGTGGTGCATATACATATGCACACACATGCATACCTGTGCACTGTAGATGACAGGCAGGCTGGCAGCCCGGGACATGCAGCGGTGACCAGCTCAGCCAAGGCAGGGCTCTGGGAGGGAGTCACCAGGCCCCTGGCAGCTCAGGATCCTGGATACACTAAGAGCCAAGGAGGAGAGAACAAGCTGTGTCACCACCTCCACCCAAGTTCATCACTAACATGAACCTGTAAGCTGCACTGAAACTGTTCCACTTGTGATTAGAACCAGAAACACTCCAGATGGGCTCAGCACAGCCAAGGGGGGTGGAACTGTCCTCAATGTTCTCCACCATTTGTGGCCAGATCTACCACCAGCAGCCTTGCCAGGCAGTGCCTGCCTTGGGGAAGGGGCCTAGCCCACGGCAGGTCCCCGCTGTGCTCCCGGCCCGGCGCCTGCAGTCCAGGGGCAAGGGCGGGGTGTGGAGTCTTTAAGTGATAATTTTTTCCCTCTGGGCCTTATTATAAAAGGAAAGGGAAGGGGAAAAAGATCCTAGCTCAGGGTCTCCGGGGACAGCGAACCCAAAGGCGACCCCAACCCAGTTGCCGTCCGGCACCGGGAGTTGATGCCAGCGCCAAGCGAGGATGGGGAAACGCAACCAGCAGCCCGTCCAGCCCGGCGGCAGGACCCAAGTGCCCCCCCAACCCCCAGACAGCACTTCTAGCCGGCGCCGGGTGGCCGTCCGCCACAAGCACCCCCCCCCCACACCCAACCCGGGGATGCGAGAGCACCGCCCAGTACCCGCTGCACCCACCCACCAGTCGTGGGAGAGGGAAGTGGCCGGTAGGAGTGGGGCCGCTGGGCTGCACCCCCAGATCCCAGCAACAGCCGCTCCGCAGCCCCGCCGAGTCCACAGGGCAGTGCTCGAGAACACTGGGGCTGCAACCTCGGGCCGCCCCCACGCATCCGGGTCCCTGCAGTGCCACGGGAGGCCCCAGGCTGCCACCGGTGGCGACTCAGGCAGCCCGGCCCCCCGCCCAGCTTACCTGGCCAGGGAGCAAGGCTGCTTCAGCGCGGTGCAGTCCCCGCCCCGCCGCCGCCCACCGCGTCGGCGAAGCCGAGCTCCTCAGCACGCCCATGCCCAGCCGCACACACCCAGCCTGGCGCCTGCAGCCCAGGGGCAACGCGGTGTAGGGTTTTTAATTGAGAAGGTTTTTCCCGCTGGGCCTTACTATAAAAGGAAACGGAAGTGGGACAGGATCCCGGCTCTGGTTCTCCAGCCACGGAACGCACCAGCGGCCCGGCCAGCCCTGTGGGACCTGAGCGGGAGCCCTTCCTCCCTCACCACTTCCCCCACCCCCACCCCCGTCAGATAGCGCCTGTAGCCGGCACAAGTGGCCTGTCGCTGCGGCGACCTAGCGCGGGATGTGAGAACCGCCGGTCGTGGGAGGAGGAAGTGGCGGTAGGAAAGGAGTGGGGCCGCCGGGCTGCACTCCCAGATCTCAGCAACAGCCACCCCGCAACCCTGCAGCCCTGCGGAGTCCAGAGGGCTGCGCTCGGAGAACTAGAGCCGCAACCTCCGCGCCGCCCCACACTCCTCAGGGTTCCTGCGGTACGGCGCGAGGCCGCAGGCTGCCACTGGCGAGTCAGGCAGCCCGGGTCCCGCAGCTTACCTGGCCAGGGCGGGAGCTGCTGCAGCGCGCTGCGGTCCCACCGAGTCGCCGCCCGCTACGTCCGCTCCTCAGCCGAGCTCCTCAGCGAGCCGGCGCAGAACCGCACAAACCTTCTGCAGCGGAGTAGCCCCGGGCGCGTCCCGGAAGCGGTGTACGGCAAGCCCGCAGGGCCGCCTCTACCGGGCGCACGCGCACTCACCTAAGCCTGCGCGACACGCTCCGGAACTGCTCCTTCGCCTCACCCGCTCGAGTCACTGGGGCCGGAAACGCTTCCAGGAGACACGGCGCGGCGGAAAGAGATGGAATACAAAGATGATGTGTCGGAGCCGGACGTACACAGGGCCCCGCGCCCCCTGGCCCCGGCGTTGGGACAATCGGCAGGGCGGGGGGGTTCACTCTAACCCGGGTGCGCGGGGCTGATCTCCCGGACCCGGGATGGAGCTCAGACGCTGGAAGGCGCGGCGTCCCCGAATGCCCCGGGACCTGGGGAGCACCCAGATTCCCGAGGCACGTCCTGGCTCTGCTGGCTCGGGAGCTGCAGGGGTCTGGTCCCGCGGGTAGAGCCGGAGAGCACGAGGCTCCCACCGTGCCATGGCTGCCGCACTGCACCCTGCTCACTCTTCCCCGCCCACCACCGCAGTTGTAAGAGGCGACCCTAGAGCAAGGAACCCTCGGGGATCGCCGCCTCCGAAAGCGCCATCCGGCAGGAGAGGCTCCCTGCTGCCTCCCCACCGCAGATCCCCTAGGAGCGTGCAAGACTCCAAGTCTTCCCTACGGTCCCTTCCAAGGACCCCAGCAGCCCGTCCCTCCTAGGGCCTCACTCCAGGCCATTCTCTCCTTGCTGTCCTGAATGGAGAGGACCCTGACCTCCGTGGGGCCCTGGGGAGCCAGTCTTCGCCCCCATAGCGTGAGAAATTCCCTGGAGGCTCTGGAAGGTCGCGCCAGAGACTCTGGTGTCACCTTCGGCCCTCTGGCCCTTTCGTCGAGTCCCAGGCGGATGTGGTAAGCTGTGGGAGATGCACAGGGTGCCTTTTCTGGGCCAAGCTGGGGCTCAGGTGCCTCCCTCCCTGAGTGATTTGCCTTCTTTTCTCCTTGTGGCTGCATTACGTGAAGCTGTGTCCGAAGTGGGGGGTAAAGGACAGGGGACCTAGGGGATGAGGAGAGCCCATCTTCCTGCTGCCTTGAGGGCCCGAGCTGAGACCTTGAGAAGGGGCTGGGGGAAGCTGAATCCTGAGCTGCACTAAGGTTAGATACAGTGTGGACTTGGCCTCTCCACACTCTGCCCCCACCAAACACTCACAAATCCCTAGGGCCGGAGGTGCCAGTGGGGGCTGCTCCTGGTAGGGCAGCTTTATAGCCACAGGGCCAAACAAAGGGGCAAAGGCAGAGCTAGGGCAGGCCAGCGAGATTCGTGACCCCCTCCCTGCTCAGGTGAGCATACCTTCACTGCTTACTTTCTACCTGGATAGACATTCTGTTTACCTGGCCAACACAAAGTTCATCCAGCCTCCTGTGCCCCAGCCTTTCTTCAATGTTAATGGTGGGAAGCAACAATTACAAAGCAATGATTTCAAGAAGATAAGTTCAGTCATCTTTTTGTCTGATCGTTATGTGGTCACATCCCATAGGAAAACAGCTGTGTCTGAAGCTGATCCACGCACCCCCCCCCCCCCCCCCCGCCCACCTCCTCAGGGCTGGCAAGTTGCATGCTGTTCCTTTAACAGCCTCCCTTGAGATCTTCCCGTGGGCAGGCTCTGGGCCAGTCACTGGAAATTAAACCCCCATCCCAGCACAGGGAGTGAGTGGCTGATGTCCACAGTCCACAGGATGAAAGGTACAGGCCTAGGGCTCCCACCTGTAATCCCAATGCTTTGGAAGCTGAAGTGGGAGGCTCACTTGAGCCCAGCAGTTCAAGTCTGCAGTGAGCTATGACCATGCCACTTGCACTCCAGCCTTGGTGACAGAACAAGACACTACTATCACTTTAAAAAATGAAATAAATAAATAAATAAAGGTACAGGCCTACCCCCCAGCCTCACTCAGGACCTAAATCTGGTAGGCTTGAGCCAACTGCCAGTATTCAGAGAATTTTTAAAGAATCATTAGGACAAATAGCTAATACATACGGGACTTAAAACCTAGATGACAGGTTGATAGGTGCAGCAAACCACCATGGCACACATATCCCCCATGTAACCAACCTACATGTTCTATACTTGTATCCAGGAACTTAAAGTAAAATTAAAAAAAAAAAAAAAAAAAAGAATCACGCTGGGCGAGGTGGCTCACACCTGTAATCCCAGCACTTTGGGAGGCCGAGGCAGGAAGATCACGAGATCAGGAATTTGAGACCAATCTGGCCAACCTGGTGAAACCCAGTTTCTACTAAAATACAAAAATTAGCTGTTCGTGGTGGCAGGTGCCTGTAATCCTAGTCATTCAGGAGGCTGAGGAAGGAGAACTGTTTGAACCTGGGAGGTGGAGGTTGCAGTGAGCCGGGTTTGCACCACTGCACTCCAACCTGGGCAGCAGAGTGAGACTCAACCTTGGGGAAAAAAAAAGGAGGTGGGGATACAAGACATTTGCTTCCTTTCTTGCTCTCTGCCATGTGAGGATAAAGCAGATAGCCCTCTATGAACCAGGAGGTGCGCCCACCGCAAGAACCAAGCATGCTGACACCCTGATCTTGGCCATCAGCTTCCAGAACTGGGAGAAATCAGTGTTTGTTGTTTAAGCCACCCAGTCTATGGCATTTTGTTAGAGCAGCCCAAACTAAGACACTGCCCCAATCATAATGATATCCCCCTATGTTTCCTTCTAAATGCTTTCAAAGTTTTGTTTTTTGAGACAGAGTCTCACTGTCACCCAGGCTGCAGTGCAGTGGGATGATCTTGGCTCACTGCAACCTCCGCTCTCAGCTTCAAGATATTCTCCCACCTCACCCTCTGGAGTCGCTGGGACTACAGGCGCAAGCCACCATACCCAAGTAATTTTTGTATTTTTAGTAGAGGTGGGGTTTCACCATATTGGCCAGGCTATTCTCAACTCCTAACCTCATGATCCACCCACCTTGGCCTCCCAAAGTGCTGGGATTACACCCAGCCCACTTTCAAAGTTTTGCCTTTCACAACTAGATCTTTAATCAACTGGCTTTTATTTTTGATACGATGTGAACTAGTGATCTAGTTGTATTTACTTTGCATGTGGATAATCAATTGTGCAGACACCGTTTGTAGAATATTCCGTCCTTTCCCCAATAATCTATAAGGCAGCTTCTGTCTCAAGTTTCCATGTGTCATGGGTCTTTTGCGGGGTTCCTCTTCTCTTCAGTGGCTGACTTGTGCATCCCCTGAACACTTCACTGTCTAATTCCTTTACCATCATAGTATGCACATGAATCTTCAACCTTCCATTACCCACTGACCTCTATGCCGTTCTTATTTTTTGAAAATATCTTACTTTAAGTTCTGTCAGAAACAGAGCCTGAGTCAAGGATTCAGGTACAAGCATTTGTTAAGAAGTTGCTTTCAAGAAGCACAGGTAAGAGGGTGGGAGGTGAGACAGGGAACGGAAGAAAGCCAACAAATGGTGCATTTATGAGCAGGTTGCCACAAAGGGTAACTGGGGCTCAAACTCACTAGGCGCTTCAAAGTTACCGCAGCTGAGGGGCGGGGAAGCTGCGGTATTTATCCACCAACTCCCATTCTTCATGGATGTTTTAACATGGACACAAGATGTACTTTAATCAGATATACTAAGACACACAGACATGGAAATGACTGTCCCGAAGGAAGGAGTTTTTGATACTCAGAGGTCCCTAGAAACAAGTGCCAATCCATGCTATGCAGGGATACATGGAGAGGCACCAGGGTCAGTCAAGAAGTCAAAGAAGCTAGGGGAAAACGTGGGCAAGAGCTTTATTTGTGGCATCCAAGGGAAAGGCAAGGCAAGGCAGGGTGAGCAGGCACAGGATTAGCTATTAATAGTTTGAATAATTTCACTCAGCTCTGGGGCATAGGGCTGTCCCTAGTTGGCTGGTTCATGGCCCTGGGGTGATGAGGGCAGATGGACAGTGGCCCAGTGTAAGAGCCCAACTAAGGAGGTGGTTGGGGGTATGGGCTTTGGATTGGCTGGTTTGCAGATGGAAGGTACGCTTGCAGGTGAGTCCTTTACTGTTTCTAGGAAGTGGCTAACCCCGGGTGGAGCAGTCGCTCCAGGATCAGCAAGGCTCCAGTTATCAACACATCAGGAAATACAGGAAATGAAAAGGCATGATGAATACACTGAGGGTGTTCTTGAAGGCATCAGCCCCTGGCACGTATGTGGCTGGCAATACCGAGGGCCATGGGGACGGCACAAACAGTGTCTGCTGCACTGTATATATGTTTTTTGAGATGAAGCCTTGCTCTGTCTCCTGGTCTGTAGTGCACTGGCAGGATCTCGGCTTATGGCATCCTGGCTCCGCCACCTGGGACAAAGCAATTCTCCTGCCTCAGTTTCCCAAGTAGCTCGGACTACAGGTGTGCACCACGATGCCTAACTAATTTTTTTGTATTATAGTAGAGACGAGGTTTCACCATGTTGGCCAGGATGGTCTTGATCTCTTCGCCTTGTGATCTGCCTGCCTTGGCCTCCCAAAGTGCTGAGATTACAGGTGTGAGCTACCGATGAAGTCTCACTCTGTCACCCAGGAATGCGATGGCTTGATCTTGGCTCACTATCCCCTCTGCCTACCAGGTTTGAGCAATTCTCCTGCCTCAGCCTTTCAGGTAGCAGGGACTACAGGCACACGCCACCATGCCCGCCTAATTTTTGTATTTTTTGTAGAGATGGGATTTTACCACATTGGCCAGGCTGGTCTCGAACTGCTGATCTCATGTGATCGCCCACCTTGGCTTCCCAAAGTGCTGGGATTACAGGTGTGAGCCACCACATCCGGCCAGCTACATTATTCTTGGACCCTTAATGACTACATGAATTTTCAGATCAGCCTCTCAAGTTCCAAAAACAACTCCATTGGGATTTGTCTGGGAATTGCTTGAATTTATAGATTAATTCAGTGAGAAATAATAGGTTTATAGCATTGAGTCCTACCATTCATAATATATATGGCATATATTTCCATTCTTCAAGTCCATGGATAATTTTTATTTTTGTCTTAGTCTTTTTGTAGTGCAA